TTAAATTTTTAATAGGGCATTCCCACAGGCCTAAGGCCTTTTTTTGGTGCATATCGACCTTTTTGAGCTTTTTTAGCTGAAAAAGTGCTAAAATCTGTTTGCTCATGCATGCGATCACAGTTTCTCAGTGCTCGATGGGCCTTGGCAAGCCGCTTTTCTGGGGGGGGGGGGCAACAAGATGGTGAAGCTTGTACCCTACACAATGCTGTAAAAAGTGGGGTTTTTGAATTTTACTTCATGTTTTGCCTTTCTTGGACCCATAAATGGAAGAGTGCGTATTCATTTCTCAGCTTGAGTTCATATCTGAACATGTACCATGCCTATGCTTCGCTGAAAAAAGAGCACTTTTTGCTTGTTTTTAGTTTTCACTGAAAAAAGAGCACTTTTTGTGTCGCACCTCTCCTGCGACAAAATGCTCGCGTGTAGCCCTTTCCCAAAGGTGCTCTTTTAATTCGCACTTAGTGCTTTTCGTGTCCCTCGAAATATGCTGAAAAAGTGCTCTTTTTCCAGTGAAAACAGGCAAAAAGCGCTCTTTTTCAGTGAAGCATAGCCATGATACATGTTCAGAATTTCAGATACATGTATGAACCCAAGCTGAGAAATGAATACGCACTCTTCCATAAATGGGTCCACGAAAGGCAAAACAGGAAGTAAAGTTCAAAAAACCCACTTTTCACAGCATTGTGTACAGCATTGAAGCTTGTGTACAAGCTTCACCAACTTGTTGCCCCCCCCCCCCCCCCCAAAAAAAGCGGCGTGCCAAGGCCCATAAAGCACTCGGAAACTGTGATCGCATGCATGAGCAAACGGATTTTATCACTTTTTCAGCTAAAACAGCTCAAAAAGGGTGATATTCACCAAAACACGCAATAAAGGGCGAAAGAAACGGGCTTTTCCAAAAAGGGCCAAAAGGGCGAGCACCTCCTTTGGGAAAGGGCTACTCGCGTGGTCTAACATGATCATGCGTGCACGGCGAACGAAGCGAGCGCGCCTCTTTGACTTCCAAACATTTCACTGCAGCTCTCCTGCAACTCAAGCATGCTTTCACTTCGAAGTACGCCTACACGTACTTATACTAGAGAGGTTCTGCTATACGTGAAACGTAGAGAAATCACGTAGAGAGCAGGTGTCTGGTTTAGAGTCTACGGCTTCGCGTATTTTGGCTCCAGATTTCTACGCGGAGATGAGGTTCTCTACGTTGGGGCACACGCAGAGAAAATGCGTACAGATTTGCTGGGTAATCGATCAACTGCATGCAGAAAACTGCCAAATATGGAAGGGGAAATTCCCAGTACACATTCCACGTGACTTCTGTAGGTGAAACTTAGAGCAGAACAGGATTTCTTTACGGTACGGAAACGCGAAGAAAGTTCGCGTGATTCTTTGCATCGCGTTCCCAAAACGTAGAGCAGAACCTTCCTACTGTACAGTACATGTACTGTGTCTGTGGATAGAACTGTTTCGTCCTTTGTGGACACATCAACGCAGCACTGATGTACTGATGATGTAGATACTACAGTGCTGGCAACTGAAATCCGACCCCCTTGCCGGCGCGCCGCGCCGGCGAGGGGGTCGGATTTCAGTTGCCAGTACTGTAGGTGTTTCAAATCTTTATTCTCACGGTGTTGGACAGATGGTTGTTTTTTGTTGAGTATCAAGCTACATGTCGTGGGTTAGGTATTTTTGACTTTGACTCTTTATTCTGTATGATCTGAAAGAAAGTATTTTCCGTTCGGTAGAGGTCGATTGGCGAGACGTTGTCGACAGGCAATGGAGACCGCAGCGATATTTTTTGCTGCTGAATACTACACTTGTAGTAGTACAAACTTGTCGAGCGCGAGCAGCACGTCGACGATAACTGCTACAGATACTAGTACATGTGTACATGTAGCTCTTACCAGACCTACATGTACTTCGAAGTACATGTATGATATAGACGTACATGACAGTGCCAGTGGTCCCCCTACGTACATGTAGGTTTACACGATGGCCATGCTTGGCTGCTCACGCAACGGGTCCGGGATTTGGTCTTTGGCCTTTTTTTTCCTTTTTTTTAGGCCTCGGTCACACTACGGCAAAAATGCTGCGTCAGCGTCAGAATCATGAGCTTTTCCATGGCAACTGACGCAACCGCGGGAAGTTTGAGCGTCAGACGCTGCTGCGTCTGACGTAGGGAAATCGGCTGCGTTGCCGCTGATGGGAGTGACGCTTGGCGGAAAACAGTGTCTTTTCAAGTAAAATTAGTTTCAAGACAGTTGCTTGAGTTGAGCAGTCATTCGACATTCGTCTTTTCAAGGTTTGTTTTGTTCCCTCTTTTTTTCGAGATGAGTCCGTGGACCTACGAGGCCGAGGCTGCTCTGCTCCGAACCTGGCGGAAGAGCGAGGCGTTTTCTGAGAAGAAAATGATGTCGAGAAAGGACCAGTTGTTCGAGTGGGTCATCGGCCAACATGAGCCTGTTGACTTGTAAGTGTTGTGTTATCGTCAAAAGCCCCAAAAGGTACAACCAATATGACGAAGTCAGGAGAAACACAGCTGCGATGCGGACTTTTCTTGCTTGATCCATGAACCTACAACTGAAAATGGCTTCCAATTCGGAAAGAAACATCAGCGATCGTGCACGCGCGTACGCGTGGACCTTTCGTCTTCTCATCATCAAAAATCAATGTATGTATAATAAGCAAAAGGCCGGTTTCCGTGGGAATCCGTGTCGTCATTGAGTTTCCCTGGTAATTTGTGACGTAGACAAATGCGTCAGGCCGCGGCAGTCATGAGCTGCAAAAAAACAAAACACTGTGTGACCCCGCGTCCGCGTCAAGTGCTGCGTCTTGACGCTGCGTCCAGCTTCAAACTTGCCGTAGTGTGACCGAGGCCTTACTATGTCGGAGTGTCACAGGAGCGGAACTTCCGCAGGAGAGTATACGCTCCGAATATTCTGGAGTAGCGGATTCGATCTTTCCGCCAGGGCGGAAGTTCCGCTACTCGCAGTTTCCATGGTGATACACGCTGTTGCGACATGCACATGCGACACCGCTGCAGCGGAGATCCCGCAACTCTCAAGTGCATGTGGTGGGACCGGGCCAGGGCACCGTCAGTGCATGCATGCCATAGTTACAGCTGTAGCTGGGAATGACTGTTTCCACGTCGTCCCACTACATCTAGACTACACGAAGTGTACAATATCATGTAAACGGCACTATTAGTGGTACATGTACATGTACTGGTAGATCTACATCATACATGACCACAACGTTACTTACTATGACTAGTCTGCATGTACTACTTGTAGTAGATCTACATGACTGTACATGATTGTGTACTTGAATTTTTTTTCGCTTCAAGTGCAATGTCCTTCCTTTGGAAGCTATGCTTGAGCATAGAAGGGAGCTCGAACGCCATTCAAGCCAGAATCTGAGTGCGGATGACGTCCTGGTAAAGATGGCTGAGGATAGTGACAGCGAGGCTGTCCACGATAGTATGTGGGATGCTGAGACTATCGTTGAGGAAGGAATTGTGGCTTGTCGGATAATGCAGCCGATGATGACGCTTTAGAAATCACAGGCGACGCTTCAGCCTATGATTATAGCTGCTGCTGGTGTACCCACGAACAGGAACGCAGCAATGCCAGACAACACCCACGGCTAATACTGCCGGCAATGATTATGAAGTTGTGGCCCACTGATAATATGTACGATTTTTGGAATTTCTGCAAAGGGAAGATATCAAAGCACTTTTCTTAGCTGACGACATGATCCGCTAAATGTAGCCTGTGGGCCAGGAAAAGTTTGAGATGCAGACCTGCTTGGTACGTTCTCCGGCAGAAAACACAGCAGTCAGCTACCATGTGGATACCTTTCTGTGACGAGCAATGTTCCAGATGCGACAGTGTCACAGAGACTAATCACTATGAGCACAGAAGCAGCGTTCCACGCAGCAACCATGTGCGATATGAAGGTGTTTCTTGATCTCAAGGAGCTCACCATCTTGGTTTGGCAATCTCAACTCTGCAGGTCAGCTCACCCAGTCATATACATCTTGCCTGCTCTGAGCAGCCTGGTCATATGAATCCGGTTTTTTTATGGATCACTCCGAATAGCGAAGCAAAAAGCCGCTCCAATGTATCATACGCCAGTTGTTTATTATTGTGCCCTGATCTTTTGTTGGGTCCTTGAGAACCTCGGTATGTTTTGACTTCGAGTCCGAGTCGGAAGTCTCCTACTTCTGGCCACAGTCAACTCTGCCATCCCCCCCCCCCCCCCCCGCACCATTCAGATTGATGCGGACAGAGTAGTAGCAGTGTGAACCTGGTGAAGGCAATTTGCCGAAACGATGTAATATTGTGAAATGAATTGAAGTATTGCAGTGTTAATGGAAGAGTCATGATAAAGGGGTGGGGTAACGACTACACAGGTTGGTAGACTGCGAAATGCCTCTCCACCATCCTACATGACTTGTACACGACTGTACCCTAGTCGTATTTTACCAGGCATTTGAGACCAGTAAATTGCTGTGCCTTCTAAAGGGTACCTAGCCTCATTATCACCCTCAAAACGGTCCAGCTACGGACTGGTGAACACATGTTTATCAGACAGCGGTACGTCTCCTTCAAACAAATGTTTGTGTTTGTTGGGTGGGGGTGGTGTTGGGGGAGGGGGCAGGAATATGTGGGTGGGGTTATGTGTGTGTGTTTTCATTTTTGCGTGGTGTGCGTGTGTGCATGTGTGTGTGTGTGTGTGTGTGTGTGTGTGTGTATGTGTGTGTGTGTGTGTGTGTGTGTGTGTGTGTGTGTGTGTGTGTGTGTGTGTGTGTGTGTGTGTGTGTGTGTGTGTGTGTGTGTGTGTGTGTGTGCGTTGGTGCGTGCTTGTGCTAGCGAATCCATATTCTAATGTTCTACGGTAATTGCGTCTTCTGGTCTGCCTGTCGGCTTGCTTGTTTACTTGTGTCTGCCTGTGTGTTGCCTTATGTGTTTGTCCTCTTCTGTTGACCTTTGGATGTTCTATAGGTCAATATAAATTCTTGGGTCGAGTACAGCACTATGTGGCGTGTTGTCCTACTCGTTGTTCTTAGTGCAACATGGATGTCTGTTCCGGCATCTGCAGGTAAGAAAAGGACAAAAGTGTCGTTTGCAAAAATAGTGACATGTACCTTGGCAATTACTGGCGTTACTGGCTGAGGTCGAGCTAGTAAGACTTTTGGACATATCGGTCTTTCTACAACTCGACAACGCAAAGCAACAGACCACCCAACTTGGTAGGCTCAAGTTTATGTGATAAAGCTGGACTGCCTATTGATTAGCGTCGTCAAGATGTAGTAAGACCGATACAATAAATTTTGGATCCATTAAGGGTGCATTCATACTACGGGATAGAGCAGCAGTGTAGGAAAAGTCATCATGACAGTTTTAGAAATTGGCACTCAGCCGTAGCAGCAGTTCAGTTTTTCCCGACCCCTTTGGAAGAGTTCGGTGACCTCTTTACTGTCGGAAATTTGCACTGAGCCGTAGCAGCAGCAGTTCAGTTTTTCCCGACCCCTTTGGAAGAGTTTGGTAACCTCTTTATTGTCGGAAATGCATCAGTAAAACATCGGCACTGCCACAAAACGTACAGACCACTGCACAAAGTGCGACGAAATGAGTTTTGGGTCATTTTCCCGCCCGAAGTACTATTGAATTGGTGCACAAGATGTTTAGCAACAGGTTGAAGTGATAATATAATGACAGTAGTCATTTTGAGGAACTGGAGTGTGTCTACTTAAAGTACTTCCTGTGGAACTGGTGAAGAGACTGCGAAAATTAATGATGGCAACATGAGAGAGTGTGCATGTCTTAGGTGGAGGTGTGACTACCCCCTTATCTAAACACTCTCCCCATCTGAACTGTAGACTCTCCGTAGGTGTTATTGGCACTCTACTGTATTGTGGTGTTATTGAAATAGTACCTGTGAGTACTGTTCTTGGGAATTAACAGGTCAATAACGTGCAGCTGAGCTGGCACAAATACCCGCTGGAGCACACGGAGAAATGGACTTGGTTGGAGAGCCAAGGATAAATTTACAGAAACGAATGTAAGCAATGTTATCGCAGGTGCTGATTGTTTAGTAACTGGTGGTGTTAGTGGACATATTAGTGCGTAACTTGTAGTTCCTGAAAGGGTTAAGTGTGTACATGTGTGTATGCCTGTGTTTATGTGTGCGTGTGTGTTTGTGTGCATATGTCGAATCCACTGTTTTCAACCAGCCACATGTCAGCCGACACCAAACCTCTCGAATGGATATTATACTACCAGTATTAGCTCTTTTACAAATGGTGGCACAGCGACTGCTCATTGTTTTCCAGGATACCAGGGAAATAGACCAAATTCTATCACGTGTGTTAATGGCACTTGGCCTATGGTTGCTTCTTCTCTTCCAACTTGTACATGTAAGTCGAACCAACTAGACATGATCCAATACATTATTTTCATGTAGAAAGTGCACAAATGCGCCACTTTACTCCATTCCCTTATCTGCTATTCAGTCGTTCTCCCTCAACTGAGGAGCATTTAAAATGAGCGTAACAGCTGTCTGGGGGCTATGGAACATCTTCCCAAGAACGAACTTCTTCGCTATGGAGTGGTGTTGTGAATGTGGGCAAGCTGTTTCGGCCATAAAGGCCTCATCAGTACAGCTACGAGCTAAATAGGCCGAGCTACCAGCCATGCTGCAAATGAGGCACCACAGACATTAAGATAGCTCGTCGCTCTAGCGCAAAAAGTAGCTGGCGTTGCATGATGCAGCATGATGCAGCATGATGCAGCAGCACTAGAGCACGAGAGCAGCGTACTGAGAGTGCTCAAGTGCTCAACAAGACGAAAGCCGAGGAGCGCAATACCCAATGATGTAGGCAGCAAGCTCTGAATATTTTATAATTATGACTTCAATATCAGTGATTCACCAAACTCTGATCGCCAATTTTTGAACAAGTTGTCATATGTAGAAGTTTAGGAATTTAGTTTCAGCTACTTCAGAGTACTGTATTGCAGGAAATTTTCGGACAGAAATGTTTTCGGACTATTAAAGCCGAAATTCGACCTCTTGTACGGATTCTATTTTCGTACAGTGGTGCATGCTAAATGCACGTGTTTGCAGGCGGTACGCATGTACGGTGTACATAACTTCACAGGAACAAATTTTAGTACGGAATTTACTTTAGTACAAAAGAGGCCGTGTACGAAATCGTACGAAAATAAATTCCGTCTGAAAATTTCCTGCTGTTATGTCACAATCATCTGTACTCACTCTATGTGCATGATGGATCTGTCAGGACTCCTCACTCTTGGTGAATAAGTAAAAAACTGCTTCATTCTGTACAAAAGGATACTTTGTCATAGTCTAGGTTGGTTTCGGTACGGAACAGGTCTTCAGACAATGTTCTGCTAATATCAGATTCAAACCTATTACATGTGCGTATGTACATATACGTGTGTGTGTATGTGTGCGTGTGCGCGTGTGTGTGTGTGTGCATGTGTGTGCATGTGTGTGCATGTGTGTGCGTGTGTGTGTGCGTGTGTGTGTGTGTGTGCGTGTGTGTGCGTGTGTGTGTTCGCGTGTGTGTGTGTGTGTGTGTGTGTGTGTGTGTGTGTGTGTGTGTGTGTGTGTGTGTGTGCGTGTGCATGTGCATGCGTGCGTGCATGCGTGTGTGTGCATGTGCGTGCGTGCGCGCATGTGTGTGTGTGCATTGAATCAACTATTTCCAACTAGCAATTACATGTTCTGCAGCACCAACAATCGCTAACGGCTATCTTACTTTCAACAGTGGGAGTTTTATGGATGGAGGTTTAGCAACTGTCAGTTGTTTTCCAGGATACAATTTGACAGGATCAGCTACAATCAGTTGTAGAGGTGGCCAGTGGCCTAGTGGTGCTTTTCGTCCAACTTGTACACGTAAGTTGAATCAACTAGACATGATACAATACATTATCTTCATCATAGTGTGAGCCCTTTCAGGGTCACAGTGCATTTCCAGCATCTGAGCACCGTGATCCAGTGCATCTGTGCAATTGTGGAGATAACAGCGAAGAAATCGTCATAACATTGTTGTTTCCCAACGGATTTTCACAATGTTTGGCTTCCTGGAAAGCTCTTTTCCTGCTGGTCATTTCCCATGTGCTTTCAGATCACACAACATCCCGTAACCTCGCCAACAGTGTCCGCATTTTCCTCCGGTTTGGCATCAAGACCATGCACAACAATTTTCTTCGGTTTGGGGCTCATACTTGAAGCAAAACTACTATTCAAGCTGCACCGAACTCGTGAGATTCAAGCGATTCAAACAAAGTGCTCATCCGTCATTTTGCCTTTGACATGTCATTGGGAAATCCCCTTTAATGCTTTGAAAGTCGGTAAAATTCCTTATTGGAAATAAGAAAAATGTTGAGATCGAAGTCGCGTGTTCAATTTATCTCAGCTCAATCATCTGTAGAGCTATCGCCCTCCCAATGAGCTATTGATCATGGCAATGCGATATTTTGTTCTAGAGTATGGCTGTTTGTACAGTGATCTATACAATGTGTACAGTATGTGCACTGTACAAAAAGTATAACTCAAGTATAATCGTCGTTGCACAGATGCGATGCAGTCTACGTGACGAGTATACTCATCTTAAACCCGGACGTGTGGCATGCATGGCATGTTTTGTTGTGTAGTTTAAAATGAGATAATGTGCAGTTCTTAGTCACTAGCAAGTCGTTGGATTTTTTGCAGCTCCACGTCACCATTTTAACTGGACATAATTATTTGCATATCCTCCGCCCGTCACCACCATACGCAATATTGTCATAGACAGTGGAATTTGCGCATTATGAAATGTGACAATAAGTTTCCAACTGATTGGATACTTCTTGGGACCAATTACAGTCAGGTTCGGGAACGTGCTGTCAGAGGTGAAGGAAAGTGATTCATTTTAAAAGGTTTAGAAGCAAGTCAAAGACGAACCCATTTGAATTTGACCTCCCGATTCTTTCAAATTGAAGTGCACTTTCATTTTTTCCACCAACTTGCCAGCGTAAGGATCTGATTTAAAGGATACTGTAGCCTCTGTATTCTACTGGCATTTTCTTTACTAACAACACTCTGTTGAGCTGATTTTGATAGGGAAGCATAAAATTAATACGCAGACAATTTTGAACTCGAGAACTTTGAATTCGAGAATTTGGAACTCAAAAATCAATTTTGACTATGTTTGCCGAAGTAATTTCTTTCCAAGGTGACACAGTTGCTTTTCTTTCTTTTTCTTTTCCGGTGCAACTAGAAATCACATGTACACCACCTCTTACTTCTCCCGCCAATGGTAAAATAGGCAGCAGCTCAAATGTCGTTGGTGGTGCAACCTACTTTACCTGTAACTCAGGATATACACTAGTGGGAAAAAGTTCATCTGTGTGCACCACATCTGGATCATGGTCACAACCAGCACCAACCTGCCAAGGTAAGAGTATGATGATCTCATTGCAGTGAACGTATTTCTATGTGAAGACGATAAATTTATATTCCTGTATCATAGTCAAACCAATCATCACTTTGGTTGCTTCCATCATTGTACGGGAAATTTTGAACCGTTTCCAGGAGACTATCTACCACTTGTCTGTCTGTTCACTGACATTATGATTCTCATATCCGTCCTGAATGGGACTCACGACGGTATATTTGACTGTGAGCGTGTGTGTGTGTGTGTGATAGTGGGAAAACGAAAGGAAAAAGAAAAGTAGGGTCCTGTAATAAAGGTCAAATTTAAGAAGAGCAGTACTAGACTAAAATGGCTGAGCAGATGTTACTCCATCGTTTTCTGTCGTGTGCATTGCTGCCGAGATCACGAAGGCAGCTGGGCTTGAAAATGCAGATAAGTGAGAGGTGGACTTCTTGCTGGAGACATGTGGCAAGGCAAGAGTGGGGTTCACCTGTTATTCGAAAGGGCTGACTGGTAGCATACGTACAGAAAGCAGTGAAAGAAACATTTGCAGGGAGATCACCTGCCATGGCCATTTCAGATACAGAGCACTGTCCAGTAGCAGCATATAAATGTGCATTCGAGATGACATCTGGGTAGGTAATTCCAAGGGTTCACCTCAGCTGTTTCCTGTGAAACACATCTAGGCAGTTTTCTTGTGTTTTCTTGTTTTCCTGTTCCGCTGCTCCGTTGTTCAGAAATTATGTGTTCTGGCTCAGTGACAGCACCTACAAATGGTCATGTGACCGGAAATGGCAATACATTGTCATCAGTACGTCAGTTCTCTTGTATGGAAGGTTATCAACTGAGTGGCGCAAGTTACACTATATGTCTGGCAGATGGTACATGGTCAACTGCTAATCCAGTGTGCACACGTGAGTAACACACCATCTTCTATCTTACACAATCAGCTTATGGATTTAGCGAGTTTAGCATTCTAGCTCTTCAACGACAGTAAAACCTGTGACTAACGACCACCCCTGGGGGCCAAAGAAGGCGGTATTTAGTGGCACGGGGTCCTTAGATCGAGGTTTGCACCGCACTACCATTATTAGATGGAATGTGAGACTTTCTTGTGAGCTACTTGCGCTCCCATCTTTGCCATAGCTACCCAGGCCCTTTATCTTGCAGGCTCTCCTGTCGACTCGCTTTCTCTCCCATAATTTAGTCGTTGGAATGCAGCTCCACGTCACCATTTTTACTGGACAAATTTGCATATCCTCCCCCGTCACCGACATCCCCAGTATTGTCATAGACAGTGGAATTTGCGGCATGCGCATTATGAAATGTGACAATAAGTTTCCAACTGATTGGATACTTCTTGGGACCAATTACAGTCAGGTTCGGGAACGTGCTGTCAGAGGTGAAGGAAAGTGATTCATTTTAAAAGGTTTAGAAGCAAGTCAAAGACCAAACCATTTGAATTTGACCTCCCGATTCTTTCAAATTGAGGTGCAGTTCCACTTGCTCCACCAACTTGCCAGCGTAAGGATCTGATTGAAAGGATACTGTAGCCTCTGTATTCTAGGTGGACTTCTTGCTGGAGACATGTGGTAAGGCAAGAGTGGGGTTCACCTAACTGTTATTCGAAAGGGCTGACTGGTAGGATACGTACAGAAAGCAGTGAGAGAAACATTTGCAGGGAGACCACTTGCCATGGCCATTTCAGATACAGAGCACTGTCCAGTAGCAGCATATAAATGTGCATTCGAGATGACATCTGAGTAGGTAATTCCAAGGGTTCACCTCAGCTGTTTCCTGTGAAACACATCTAGGCGGTTTTGTTGTGTTTTCTTGTTTCCTGTTCCGCTGCTCTGTTGTGCAGAAATTATGTGTTCTGGCTCAGTGACAGCACCGACAAATGGTAATGTGACCAGTGCTGGCAATACATTGTCATTAGTACGTCAGTTCTCTTGCATGGATGGTTATCAACTGAGTGGCACAAGTTACACTATATGTCAGGCGAATGGTACATGGTCAACTGCTAGTCCAGTGTGCACACGTGAGTAACACACCATCTTCTATCTTACGCAACCAGCTTATGGATTTAGCGAGTTTTGCATTCCAGCTCTTCAACCATAGTAAAACCTGTGACTAACGACCACCCCTTGGGGCCAAAGAAAGCGGTCTTTAGAGGCAGGTGGTCCTTAGTTCGAGGTTTGCACCGCACTACCATATGATATGGAGTGTGAGACTTTCTTGTGAGCTACTTGCGCGGCCATCTTTGCCATAGCTACCCAGGCCCTTTATCTTGCAGGCTCTCCTGTCGACTCGCTTTCTCTCCCATAATTTAGATCACACAACACCCCGTAACCTCGCCAACAGTGTCCGCATTTTCCACCGGTTTGGCATCAAGACCATGCACAACAATTTTCTTCGGTTTGGGGCTCATACTTGAAGCAAAACTACTATTAAAGCTGCACCGAACTCGTGAGATTCAAGCGATTCAAACAAAGTGCTCATCCGTCATTTTGCCTTTGACATGTAATTTAGGAAATCCCCTTTAATGCTTTGAAAGTCGGTAAAATTCCTTAATGGAAATAAGAAAAATGTTGAGATCGAAGTCGCGTGTTCAATTTATCTCAGCTCAATCATCTGTAGAGCTATCGCCCTCCCAATGAGCTATTGATCATGGCGAAGCGATATTCCGGGCTGGAGTAGAGCTGTTTGTACAGTGATCTATCCAGTGTGTACAGTATGTGCACTGTACAAAAAGTATAACTCAAGTATAATCGTCGTTGCTCGGATGCGATGCGGTCTGCGTGACGAGTATACTCATCTTAAACCCGGACGTATGGCATGCATGGCATGTTTTGTTGTGTAGTTTAAAATGAGATAATGTGCAGTTCTTAGTCGCTAGCAAGTCGTTGGATTTTTTGCAGCTCCACGTCACCATTTTAACTGGCCGTATATGCATATCCTCCAGCCGTCACCACCAATCCCAATATTGTCATAGACAGTGGAATTTGCACATTATGAAATGTGACAATAAGTTTCCAACTGATTGGATACTTCTTGGGACCCATTACAGTCAGGTTCTGGAATGTGCTGTCAGAGATGAAGGAAAGTGATTCATTTTCAAAGGTTTAGAAGCAAGTCAAAGACCAAACCATTTCAATTTGACCTCCCGATTCTTTCAAATTGAAGTGCAGTTCCATTTGCTCCACCAACTTGCCAGCGTAAGGATCTGACTTAAAGGATACTGTAGCCTCTGTATTCTACTGGCATTTTCTTTACTAACAACACTCTGTTGAGCTGATTTTGATAGGGAAGCATAAAATTAATACGCCGACAACTTTGAACTCGAGAACTTTGAATTCGAGAATTTGGAACTCAAAAATTAATTTTGAATGTGTATGCAGAAGTAACTTCATTCCAAGGTGACACAGTTGCATTTCTTTCTTTTTCTTTTCCGGTGCAACTAGAAATCACATGTACACCACCTCTTACTTCTCCCGCCAATGGTAAAATAGGCAGCAGCTCAAATGTCGTTGGTGGTGCGACCTACTTCACGTGTAACTCAGGATTTACACTAGTGGGCACAAGTGCATCTGTGTGCACCACATCTGGATCATGGTCACAACCAGCACCAACTTGCCAAGGTAAGAGTATGATGAGCTCATTGCAGAGAACGTATTTCTATATGAAGACGATAAATTTATATTCCTGTATCATAGTCAAACCAATCATCACTTTGGTTGCTTCCATCATTGTACGGGAAATTTTGAACCGTTTCCAGGAGACTTTCTACCACTTGTCTGTCTGTTCACTGACATTATGATTCTCATATCCGTCCTGAATGGGACTCACGACGGTATATTTGACTGTGAGCATGTGTGTGTGTGTGTGTGTGTGTGTGATAGTGGGAAAACGAAAGGAAAAAGAAAAGTAGGGTCCTGTAATAAAGGTCAAATTTAAGAAGAGCAGTACTAGACTAAAATGGCTGAGCAGATGTTACTCCATCGTTTTCTGTCGCGTGCATTGCTGCCGAGATCACGAAGGCAGCTGGGCTTGAAAATGCAGATAAGTGAGAGGTGGACTTCTTGTTGGAGACATGTGGTAAGGCAAGAGCGGGGTTCACCTAACTGTTATTCGAAAGGGCTGACTGGTAGCATACGTACAGAAAGCAGTGAGAGAAACATTTGCAGGGAGATCACTTGCCATGGCCATTTCAGATACAGAGCACTGTCCAGTAGCAGCATATAAATGTGCATTCGAGATGACATCTGAGTAGGTAATTCCAAGGGTTCACCTCAGCTGTTTCCTGTGAAACACATCTAGGCGGTTTTGTTGTGTTTTCTTGTTTCCTGTTCCGCTGCTCTGTTGTGCAGAAATTATGTGTTCTGGCTCAGTGACAGCACCGACAAATGGTAATGTGACCAGTGCTGGCAATACATTGTCATCAGTACGTCAGTTCTCTTGCATGGATGGTTATCAACTGAGTGGCACAAGTTACACTATATGTCAGGCGAATGGTACATGGTCAACTGCTAGTCCAGTGTGCACACGTGAGTAACACACCATCTTCTATCTTACGCAACCAGCTTATGGATTTAGCGAGTTTTGCATTCCAGCTCTTCAACCATAGTAAAACCTGTGACTAACGACCACCCCTTGGGGCCAAAGAAAGCGGTCTTTAGAGGCAGGTGGTCCTTAGTTCGAGGTTTGCACCGCACTACCATATGATATGGAGTGTGAGACTTTCTTGTGAGCTACTTGCGCGGCCATCTTTGCCATAGCTACCCAGGCCCTTTATCTTGCAGGCTCTCCTGTTGACTCGCTTTCTCTCCCATAATTTAGATCACACAACACCCCGTAACCTCGCCAACAGTGTCCGCATTTTCCTCCGGTTTGTCATCAAGACCATGCACAACAATTTTCTTCGGTTTGGGGCTCATACTTGAAGCAAAACTACTATTAAAGCTGCACCGAACTCGTGAGATTCAAGCGATTCAAACAAAGTGCTCATCCGTCATTTTGCCTTTGACATGTAATTTAGGAAATCCCCTTTAATGCTTTGAAAGTCGGTAAAATTCCTTAATGGAAATAAGAAAAATGTTGAGATCGAAGTCGCGTGTTCAATTTATCTCAGCTCAATCATCTGTAGAGCTATCGCCCTCCCAATGAGCTATTGATCATGGCGAAGCGATATTCCGAGCTGGAGTAGAGCTGTTTGTACAGTGATCTATCCAGTGTGTACAGTATGTGCACTGTACAAAAAGTATAACTCAAGTATAATCGTCGTTGCTCGGATGCGATGCGGTCTGCGTGACGAGTATACTCATCTTAAACCCGGACGTATGGCATGCATGGCATGTTTTGTTGTGTAGTTTAAAATGAGATAATGTGCAGTTCTTAGTCGCTAGCAAGTCGTTGGATTTTTTTGCAGCTCCACGTCACCATTTTAACTGGCCGTATATGCATATCCACCAGCCGTCACCACCAATCCCAATATTGTCATATACAGTGGAATTTACACATTATGAAATGTGACAATAAGTTTCCAACTGATTGGATACTTCTTGGGACCCATTACAGTCAGGTTCTGGAATGTGCTGTCAGAGATGAAGGAAAGTGATTCATTTTCAAAGGTTTAGAAGCAAGTCAAAGACCAAACCATTTCAATTTGACCTCCCGATTCTTTCAAATTGAAGTGCAGTTCCATTTGCTCCACCAACTTGCCAGCGTAAGGATCTGACTTAAAGGATACTGTAGCCTCTGTATTCTACTGGCATTTTCTTTACTAACAACACTCTGTTGAGCTGACTTTGATAGGGAAGCATAACATTAATACGCCGACAAATTTGAACTCGAGAACTTTGAATTCGAGAATTTGGAACTCAAAAATTAATTTTGAATGTGTATGCACAAGTAACTTCATTCCAAGGTGACACAGTTGCATTTCTTTCTTTTTCTTTTCCGGTGCAACTAGAAATCACATGTACACCACCTCTTACTTCTCCCGCCAATGGCAAAATAGGCAGCAGCTCAAATGTCGTTGGTGGTGCAACCTACTTCACGTGTAACTCAGGATTTACACTAGTGGGCACAAGTGCATCTGTGTGCACCACATCTGGATCATGGTCACAACCAGCACCAACTTGCCAAGGTAAGAGTATGATGAGCTTATTGCAATGAACGTATTTCTATATGAAGACGATAAATTTATATTCCTGTATCATAGTCAAACCAATCATCACTTTGGTTGCTTCCATCATTGTACGGGAAATTTTGAACCGTTTCCAGGAGACTTTCTACCACTTGTCTGTCTGTTCACTGACATTATGATTCTCATATCCGTCCTGAATGGGACTCACGACGGTATAATTGACTGTGAGCATGTGTGTGTGTGTGTGTGTGATAGTGGGAAAACGAAAGGAAAAAGAAAAGTAGGGTCCTGTAATAAAGGTCAATTTTAAGAAGAGCAGTACTAGACTAAAATGGCTGAGCAGATGTTACTCCATCGTTATCTGTTGCGTGCATTGTTGCCGAGATTACGAAGGCAGCTGGCCTTGAAAATGCAGATAAGTGAGAGGTGGACTTCTTGCTGGAGACATGTGGTAAGGCAAGAGCGGGGTTCACCTAACTGTTTTTCGAAAGGGCTGACTGGTAGCATACGTACAGAAAGCAGTGAGAGAAACATTTGCAGGGAGATCACTTGCCATGGCCATTTCAGATACAGAGCACTGTCCAGTAGCAGCATATAAATGTGCATTCGAGATGACATCTGGGTAGGTAATTCCAAGGGTTCACCTCAGCTGTTTCCTGTGAAACACATCTAGGCGGTTTTCTTGTGTTTTCTTGTTTCCTGTTCCGCTGCTCCGTTGTGCAGAAATTATGTGTTCTGGCTCAGTGACAGCACCGACAAATGGTAATGTGACCAGTGCTGGCAATACATTGTCATCAGTACGTCAGTTCTCTTGCATGGATGGTTATCAACTGGCAGGCACAAGTTACACTATATGTCAGGCGAATGGTACATGGTCAACTGCTAGTCCAGTGTGCACACGTGAGTAACACACCATCTTCTATCTTACACAATCAGCTTATGGATTTAGCGAGTTTTGCATTCCAGCTCTTCAACCATAGTAAAACCTGTGACTAACGACCACCCCTTGGGGCCAAAGAAAGCGGTCTTTAGTGGCAGGTGGTCCTTAGTTCGAGGTTTGCACCGCACTACCATATGATATGGAGTGTGAGACTTTCTTGTGAGCTACTTGCGCGGCCATCTTTGCCATAGCTACCCAGGCCCTTTATCTTGCAGGCTCTCCTGTCGACTCGCTTTCTCTCCCATAATTTAGATCACACAACACCCCGTAACCTCGCCAACAGTGTCCGCATTTTCCTCCGGTTTGGCATCAAGACCATGCACAACAATTTTCTTCGGTTTGGGGCTCATACTTAAAGCAAAACTACTATTCAAGCTGCACCGAACTCGTGAGATTCAAGCGATTCAAACAAAGTGCTCATCCGTCATTTTGCCTTTGACATGTCATTGGGAAATCCCCTTTAATGCTTTGAAAGTCGGTAAAATTCCTTAATGGAAATAAGAAAAATGTTGAGATCGAAGTCGCGTGTTCAATTTATCTCAGCTCAATCATCTGTAGAGCTATCGCCCTCCCAATGAGCTATTGGTCATGGCGAAGCGATATTCCGAGCTGGAGTAGAGCTGTTTGTACAGTGATCTATCCAGTGTGTACAGTATGTGCACTGTACAAAAAGTATAACTCAAGTATAATCGTCGTTGCTCGGATGCGATGCGTTCTGCGTAACGAGTATACTCATCTTAAACCCGGACGTATGGCATGCATGGCATGTTTTGTTGTGTAGTTTAAAATGAGATAATGTGCAGTTCTTAGTCGCTAGCAAGTCGTTGGATTTTTTGCAGCTCCACGTCACCATTTTAACTGGCCGTATATGCATATCCTCCAGCCGTCACCACCAATCCCAATATTGTCATAGACAGTGGAATTTGCACATTATGAAATGTGACAATAAGTTTCCAACTGATTGGATACTTCTTGGGACCCATTACAGTCAGGTTCTGGAATGTGCTGTCAGAGATGAAGGAAAGTGATTCATTTTCAAAGGTTTAGAAGCAAGTCAAAGACCAAACCATTTCAATTTGACCTCCCGATTCTTTCAAATTGAAGTGCAGTTCCATTTGCTCCATCAACTTGCCAGCGTAAGGATCTGACTTAAAGGATACTGTAGCCTCTGTATTCTACTGGCATTTTCTTTACTAACAACACTCTGTTGAGCTGATTTTGATATGGAAGCATAAAATTAATACGCCGACAACTTTGAACTCGAGAACTTTGAATTCGAGAATTTGGAACTCAAAAATTAATTTTGAATGTGTATGCAGAAGTAACTTCATTCCAAGGTGACCCAGTTTCATTTCTTTCTTTTTCTTTTCCGGTGCAACTAGAAATCACATGTACACCACCTCTTACTTCTCCCGCCAATGGTAAAATAGGCAGCAGCTCAAATGTCGTTGGTGGTGCGACCTACTTGACGTGTAACTCAGGATTTACACTAGTGGGCACAAGTGCATCTGTGTGCACCACATCTGGATCATGGTCACAACCAGCACCAACTTGCCAAGGTAAGAGTATGGTGATCTCATTGCAGAGAAGGTATTTCTATATGAAGACGATAAATGTATATTCCTGTATCATAGTCAAACCAATCATCACTTTGGTTGCTTCCATCATTGTACGGGAAATTTTGAACCGTTTCCAGGAGACTTTCTATACCACTTTTCTGTCTGTTCACTGACATTATGATTCTCATATCCGTCCTGAATGGGACTCACGACGGTATAATTGACTTCGAGCATGTGTGTGTGTGTGTGATAGTGGGAAAACGAAAGGAAAAAGAAAAGTAGGGTCCTGTAATAAAGGTCAAATTTAAGAAGAGCAGTACTAGACTAAAATGGCTGAGCAGATGTTACTCCATCGTTTTCTGTCGCGTGCATTGCTGCCGAGATCACGAAGGCAGTTGGGCTTGAAAATGCAGATAAGTGAGACGTGGACTTCTTGCTGGAGACATGTGGCAAGGCAAGAGTGGGGTTCACCTAACTGTTATTCGAAAGGGCTGACTGGTAGCATACGTACAGAAAGCAGTGAGAGAAACATTTGCAGGGAGATCACTTACCATGGCCATTTCAGATACAGAGCACTGTCCAGTAGCAGCATATAAATGTGCATTCGAGATGACATCTGAGTAGGTAATTCCAAGGGTTCACCTCAGCTGTTTCCTGTGAAACACATCTAGGCGGTTTTGTTGTGTTTTCTTGTTTCCTGTTCCGCTGCTCCGTTGTGCAGAAATTATGTGTTCTGGCTCAGTGACAGCACCGACAAATGGTAATGTAACCGGAAATGGCAATACATTGTCATCAGTACGTCAGTTCTCTTGCATGGAAGGTTATCAACTGAGTGGCACAAGTTACACGATATGTCTGGCAAATGGTACATGGTCAACTGCTAATCCAGTGTGCACACGTGAGTAACATACCTTTTTCTGTTTTACACTATCAGCTTATGGATTTAGCAAGTTTAGCATTCCAGCTCTTCAACGACAATAAAACCTGTGACTAACGACCACCCCTTGGGGCCAAAGAAAACGGTTTTTAGTGGCAGGTGGTCCTTAGATCGAGGTTTGCACCGCACTACCCTTATTAGATGGAATGTGAGACTTTCTTGTGAGCTACTTGCGCGGCCATCTTTGCCATAGCTACCCAGGCCCTTTATCTTGCAGGCTCTCCTGTCGACTCGCTTTCTCTCCCATAATTTAGTCGTTGGATTGCAGCTCCACGTCACCATTTTTACTGGACAAATTTGCATATCCTCCCCCGTCACCACCATCCCCAGTATTGTCATAGACAGTGGAATTTGCGGCATGCGCATTATGAAATGTGACAATAAGTTTCCAACTGATTGGATACTTCTTGGGACCAATTACAGTCAGGTTCGGGAACGTGCTGTCAGAGGTGAAGGAAAGTGATTCATTTTAAAAGGTTTAGAAGCAAGTCAAAGACCAACCCATTTGAATTTGACCTCCCGATTCTTTCAAATTGAAGTGCACTTTCATTTTTTCCATCAACTTGCCAGCGTATAGATCTGACTTAAAGGATACTGTGGCCTCTGTATTCTACTGGCATTTTCTTTACTAACAACACTCTGTTGAGCTGATTTTGATAGGGAAGCATAAAATTAATACGCCGACAACTTTGAACTCGAGAACTTTGAATTCGAGAATTTGGAACTCAAAAATTAATTTTGAATGTGTATGCAGAAGTAACTTCATTCCAAGGTGACACAGTTGCATTTCTTTCTTTTTCTTTTCCGGTGCAACTAGACTTCACTTGTACACCACCTCTTACTTCTCCCGCCAATGGTAAAATAGGCAGCAGCTCAAATGTCGTTGGTGGTGCGACCTACTTCACGTGTAACTCAGGATTTACACTAGTGGGCACAAGTGCATCTGTGTGCACCACATCTGGATCATGGTCACAACCAGCACCAACTTGCCAAGGTAAGAGTATGATGAGCTCATTGCAGTGAACGTATTTCTATATGAAGACGATAAATTTATATTCCTGTATCATAGTCAAACCAATCATCACTTTGGTTGCTTCCATCATTGTACGGGAAATTTTGAACCATTTCCAGGAGACTTTCTACCACTTGTCTGTCTGTTCACTGACATTATGATTCTCATATCCGTCCTGAATGGGACTCACGACGGTATAATTGACTGTGAGCATGTGTGTGTGTGTGTGTGTGTGATAGTGGGAAAACGAAAGGAAAAAGAAAAGTAGAGTCCTGTAATAAAGGTAAAATTTAAGAAAAGCAGTACTAGACTAAAATGGCTGAGCAGATGTTACTCCATCGTTTTCTGTCGCGTGCATTGCTGCCGAGATCACGAAGGCAGCTGGGCTTGAAAATGCAGATAAGTGAGAGGTGGACTTCTTGCTGGAGACATGTGGTAAGGCAAGAGCGGGGTTCACCTAACTGTTATTCGAAAGGGCTGACTGGTAGCATACGTACAGAAAGCAGTGAGAGAAACATTTGCAGGGAGATCACTTGCCATGGCCATTTCAGATACAGAGCACTGTCCAGTAGCAGCATATAAATGTGCATTCGAGATGACATCTGGGTAGGTAATTCGAAGGGTTCACCTCAGCTGTTTCCTGTGAAACACATCTAAGCGGTTTTGTTGTGTTTTCTTGTTTCCTGTTCCGCTGCTCCGTTGTGCAGAAATTATGTGTTCTGGCTCAGTGACAGCACCGACAAATGGTAATGTGACCAGTGCTGGCAATACATTGTCATCAGTACGTCAGTTCTCTTGCATGGATGGTTATCAACTGAGTGGCACAAGTTACACTATATGTCAGGCGAATGGTACATGGTCAACTGCTAGTCCAGTGTGCACACGTGAGTAACACACCATCTTCTATCTTACACAATCAGCTTATGGATTTAGCGAGTTTTGCATTCCAGCTCTTCAACCATAGTAAAACCTGTGACTAATGACCACCCCTTGGGGCCAAAAAAAGCGGTCTTTAGTGGCAGGTGGTCCTTAGTTCGAGGTTTGCACCGCACTACCATATGATATGGAGTGTGAGACTTTCTTGTGAGCTACTTGCGCGGCCATCTTTGCCATAGCTACCCAGGCCCTTTATCTTGCAGGCTCTCCTGTCGACTCGCTTTCTCTCCCATAATTTAGATCACACAACACCCCGTAACCTCGCCAACAGTGTCCGCATTTTCCTCCGGTTTGGCATCAAGACCATGCACAACAATTTTCTTCGGTTTGGGGCTCATACTTGAAGCAAAACTACTATTCAAGCTGCACCGAACTCGTGAGATTCAAGCGATTCAAACAAAGTGCTCATCCGTCATTTTGCCTTTGACATGTCATTGGGAAATCCCCTTTAATGCTTTGAAAGTCGGTAAAATTCCTTAATGGAAATAAGAAAAATGTTGAGATCGAAGTCGCGTGTTCAATTTATCTCAGCTCAATCATCTGTAGAACTATCGCCCTCCCAATGAGCTATTGATCATGGCGAAGCGATATTCCGAGCTGGAGTAGAGCTGTTTGTACAGTGATCTATCCAGTGTGTACAGTATGTGCACTGTACAAAAAGTATAACTCAAGTATAATCGTCGATGCTCGGATGCGATGCGGTCTACGTAACGAGTATACTCATCTTAAACCCGGACGTATGGCATGCATGGCATGTTTTGTTGTGTAGTTTAAAATGAGATAATGTGCAGTTCTTAGTCGCTAGCAAGTCGTTGGATTTTTTGCAGCTCCATGTCACCATTTTAACTGGCCGTATATGCATATCCTCCAGCCGTCACCACCATGCGCAATATTGTCATAGACAGTGGAATTTGCACATTATGAAATGTGACAATAAGTTTCCAACTGATTGGATACTTCTTGGGACCCATTACAGTCAGGTTCTGGAATGTGCTGTCAGAGATGAAGGAAAGTGATTCATTTTCAAAGGTTTAGAAGCAAGTCAAAGACCAAACCATTTCAATTTGACCTCCCGATTCTTTCAAATTGAAGTGCAGTTCCATTTGCTCCACCACATTGCGCGAAATCGCGCATCTATGAGCGACATCCACATAAACTGCTGGGACCATGGTTGTGTACTCGAATCTCATTCTGAGCACCCTTTTTTCTTCCTTTTTTCTGCCGTTTTTTTGCAAAAAGTCCTCGAGCTCGATTTTTTTGATCGATCGTTCTTCAAGGAAGACGAGTGGACAATCGATCAACAGGGCCGAGGACGAATGCGTCTGGTTGGAGTTCTTGCGTGGCACAGGATGACCAGACACACATATAGATACATTGCGACGATCTAATCTGCACAGTGTTTCCTAATACCGCACGCACGACGGTAAGTACAATTCATGTGATTTCAAATTGTTTGTGATCTACAACGTCGCGAGAAGGACGGAAATACAGCAACAGCCTGACAACCGAAATACCAGGCAGTAACCAACAGTCACCTCCGTCACATTCTCCAGATCAGAAGACAAATGAGGCAGTGAACATGAAGAAATAAAGTATGAAAGAATGAAAAGTGTATAATTCAAAAATCTCAGAAACGTTGAACGTAAAAAACACTGAGAACAAGAAAAGTGACATACTTCGATGGCAAAAGACAAAGCGAATGTTCCTCGTATGGACCTGGCTCTTGCGGAATCAGCCACACTGTGGAACCATGTGTTTGATTCCACAAGGGATGGCTACCTGCTCCTCACCAACCAGCCTCCACGACGGTGGTAAAGTCGCCAAAAATACGAAAGTTGAACATTTTGTGCATGCATGCAATAGAAAATTTGTGCTGAGTATGTCGAGTGGCCATTCGCACAGGACAAAGCCGTTGCGCAAGCTGTGACCCTGAAATTTCGTCCATTGGTAGCGAGGGTAACCCTGAGCTGGAAAGTGTAAGGGATGGCATGCTACACTCCCTCGCATACGCTTGACAGCACGATTTGAGGCGTGGAGTAGTAATATACCAGTATCTTACTACCCCCTGATACCTGATGCATGGACGTCGTCATCTTCATCCCGCAGATCGAAAATGTACAGGTGTCGCGTGATTTCGCGCAATGAACTTGCCAGCGTAAGGATCTGACTTAAAGGATACTGTAGCCTCTGTATTCGACTGGCATTTTCTTTACTAACAACACTCTGTTGAGCTGATTTTGATAGGGAAGCATAAAATTAATACGCCGACAACTTTGAACTCGAGAACTTTGAATTCGAGAATTTGGAACTCAAAAATTAATTTTGAATGTGTATGCAGAAGTAACTTCATTCCAAGGTGACACAGTTGCATTTCTTTCTTTTTCTTTTCCGGTGCAACTAGAAATCACATGTACACCACCTCTTACTTCTCCCGCCAATGGTAAAATAGGCAGCAGCTCAAATGTCGTTGGTGGTGCGACCTACTTCACGTGTAACTCAGGATTTACACTAGTGGGCACAGGTGCATCTGTGTGCACCACATCTGGATCATGGTCACAACCAGCACCAACTTGCCAAGGTAAGAGTATGATGAGCTCATTGCAGTGAACGTATTTCTATATGAAGACGATAAATTTATATTCCTGTATCATAGTCAAACCAATCATCACTTTGGTTGCTTCCATCATTGTGCGGGAAATTTTGAACCGTTTCCAGGAGACTTTCTACCACTTGTCTGTCTGTTCACTGACATTATGATTCTCATATCCGTCCTGAATGGGACTCACGACGATATATTTGACTGTGAGCGTGTGTGTGTGTGTGTGATAGTGGGAAAACGAAAAGAAAAAGAAAAGTAGGGTCCTGTAATAAAGGTCAAATTTAAGAAGAGCAGTACTAGACTAAAATGGCTGAGCAGATGTTACTCCATCGTTTTCTGTCGCGTGCATTGCTGCCGAGATCACGAAGGCAGCTGGGCTTGAAAATGCAGATAAGTGAGAGGTGGACTTCTTGCTGGAGACATGTGGTAAGGCAAGAGCGGGGTTCACCTAACTGTTTTTCGAAAGGGCTGACTGGTAGCATACGTACAGAAAGCAGTGAGAGAAACATTTGCAGGGAGATCACTTGCCATGGCCATTTCAGATACAGAGCACTGTCCAGTAGCAGCATATAAATGTGCATTCGAGATGACATCTGGGTAGGTAATTCCAAGGGTTCACCTCAGCTGTTTCCTGTGAAACACATCTAGGCGGTTTTCTTGTGTTTTCTTGTTTCCTGTTCCGCTGCTCCGTTGTGCAGAAATTATGTGTTCTGGCTCAGTGACAGCACCGACAAATGGTAATGTGACCAGTGCTGGCAATACATTGTCATTAGTACGTCAGTTCTCTTGCATGGATGGTTATCAACTGAGTGGCACAAGTTACACTATATGTCAGGCGAATGGTACATGGTCAACTGCTAGTCCAGTGTGCACACGTGAGTAACACACCATCTTCTATCTTACACAATCAGCTTATGGATTTAGCGAGTTTTGCATTCCAGCTCTTCAACCATAGTAAAATCTGTGACTAACGACCACCCCTTGGGGCCAAAGAAAGCGGTCTTTAGTGGCAGGTGGTCCTTAGTTCGAGGTTTGCACCGCACTACCATATGATATGGAGTGTGAGACTTTCTTGTGAGCTACTTGCGCGGCCATCTTTGCCATAGCTACCCAGGCCCTTTATCTTGCAGGCTCTCCTGTCGACTCGCTTTCTCTCCCATAATTTAGATCACACAACACCCCGTAACCTCGCCAACAGTGTCCGCATTTTCCTCCGGTTTGGCATCAAGACCATGCACAACAATTTTCTTCGGTTTGGGGCTCATACTTGAAGCAAAACTACTATTCAAGCTGCACCGAACTCGTGAGATTCAAGCGATTCAAACAAAGTGCTCATCCGTCATTTTGCCTTTGACATGTCATTGGGAAATCCCCTTTAATGCTTTGAAAGTCGGTAAAATTCCTTAATGGAAATAAGAAAAATGTTGAGATCGAAGTCGCGTGTTCAATTTATCTCAGCTCAATCATCTGTAGAGCTATCGCCCTCCCAATGAGCTATTGATCATGGCGAAGCGATATTCCGAGCTGGAGTAGAGCTGTTTGTACAGTGATCTATCCAGTGTGTACAGTATGTGCACTGTACAAAAAGTATAACTCAAGTATAATCGTCGTTGCTCGGATGCGATGCGGTCTACGTAACGAGTATACTCATCTTAAACCCGGACGTATGGCATGCATGGCATGTTTTGTTGTGTAGTTTAAAATGAGATAATGTGCAGTTCTTAGTCGCTAGCAAGTCGTTGGATTTTTTGCAGCTCCACGTCACCATTTTAACTGGCCGTATATGCATATCCTCCAGCCGTCACCACCAATCCCAATATTGTCATAGACAGTGGAATTTGCACATTATGAAATGTGACAATAAGTTTCCAACTGATTGGATACTTCTTGGGACCCATTACAGTCAGGTTCTGGAATGTGCTGTCAGAGATGAAGGAAAGTGATTCATTTTCAAAGGTTTAGAAGCAAGTCAAAGACCAAACCATTTCAATTTGACCTCCCGATTCTTTCAAATTGAAGTGCAGTTCCATTTGCTCCACCACATTGCGCGAAATCGCGCATCTATGAGCGACATCCACATAAACTGCTGGGACCATGGTTGTGTACTCGAATCTCATTCTGAGCACCCTTTTTTCTTCCTTTTTTCTGCCGTTTTTTTGCAAAAAGTCCTCGAGCTCGATTTTTTTGATCGATCGTTCTTCAAGGAAGACGAGTGGACAATCGATCAACAGGGCCGAGGACGAATGCGTCTGGTTGGAGTTCTTGCGTGGCACAGGATGACCAGACACACATATAGATACATTGCGACGATCTAATCTGCACAGTGTTTCCTAATACCGCACGCACGACGGTAAGTACAATTCATGTGATTTCAAATTGTTTGTGATCTACAACGTCGCGAGAAGGACGGAAATACAGCAACAGCACGACAACCGAAATACCAGGCAGTAACCAACAGTCACCTCCGTCACATTCTCCAGATCAGAAGACAAATGAGGCAGTGAACATGAAGAAATAAAATATGAAAGAATGAAAAGTGTATAATTCAAAAATCTCAGAAACGTTGAACGTAAAAAACACTGAGAACAAGAAAAGTGACTTACTTCGATGGCAAAAGACAAAGCGAATGTTCCTCGTATGGACCTGGCTCTTGCGGAATCAGCCACACTGTGGAACCATGTGTTTGATTCCACAAGGGATGGCTACCTGCTCCTCACCAACCAGCCTCCACGACGGTGGTAAAGTCGCCAAAAATACGAAAGTTGAACATTTTGTGCATGCATGCAATAGAAAATTTGTGCTGAGTATGTCGAGTGGCCATTCGCACAGGACAAAGCCGTTGCGCAAGCTGTGACCCTGAAATTTCGTCCATTGGTAGCGAGGGTAACCCTGAGCTGGAAAGTGTAAGGGATGGCATGCTACACTCCCTCGCATACGCTTGACAGCACGATTTGAGGCATGGAGTAGTAATATACCAGTATCTTACTACCCCCTGATACCTGATGCATGGACGTCGACATCTTCATTCCGCAGATCGAAAATGTACAGGTGTCGCGTGATTTCGCGCAATGAACTTGCCAGCGTAAGGATCTGACTTAAAGGATACTGTAGCCTCTGTATTCTACTGGCATTTTCTTTACTAACAACACTCTGTTGAGCTGATTTTGATAGGGAAGCATAAAATTAATACGCCGACAACTTTGAACTCGAGAACTTTGAATTCGAGAATTTGGAACTCAAAAATTAATTTTGAATGTGTATGCAGAAGTAACTTCATTCCAAGGTGACACAGTTGCATTTCTTTCTTTTTCTTTTCCGGTGCAACTAGAAATCACATGTACACCACCTCTTACTTCTCCCGCCAATGGTAAAATAGGCAGCAGCTCAAATGTCGTTGGTGGTGCGACCTACTTCACGTGTAACTCAGGATTTACACTAGTGGGCACAAGTGCATCTGTGTGCACCACATCTGGATCATGGTCACAACCAGCACCAACTTGCCAAGGTAAGAGTATGATGAGCTCATTGCAGTGAACGTATTTCTATATGAAGACGATAAATTTATATTCCTGTATCATAGTCAAACCAATCATCACTTTGGTTGCTTCCATCATTGTACGGGAAATTTTGAACCGTTTCCAGGAGACTTTCTACCACTTGTCTGTCTGTTCACTGACATTATGATTCTCATATCCGTCCTGAATGGGACTCACGACGATATATTTGACTGTGAGCGTGTGTGTGTGTGTGTGATAGTGGGAAAACGAAAAGAAAAAGAAAAGTAGGGTCCTGTAATAAAGGTCAAATTTAAGAAGAGCAGTACTAGACTAAAATGGCTGAGCAGATGTTACTCCATCGTTTTCTGTCGCGTGCATTGCTGCCGAGATCACGAAGGCAGCTGGGCTTGAAAATGCAGATAAGTGAGAGGTGGACTTCTTGCTGGAGACATGTGGTAAGGCAAGAGCGGGGTTCACCTAACTGTTTTTCGAAAGGGCTGACTGGTAGCATACGTACAGAAAGCAGTGAGAGAAACATTTGCAGGGAGATCACTTGCCATGGCCATTTCAGATACAGAGCACTGTCCAGTAGCAGCATATAAATGTGCATTCGAGATGACATCTGGGTAGGTAATTCCAAGGGTTCACCTCAGCTGTTTCCTGTGAAACACATCTAGGCGGTTTTGTTGTGTTTTCTTGTTTCCTGTTCCGCTGCTCCGTTGTGCAGAAATTATGTGTTCTGGCTCAGTGACAGCACCGACAAATGGTAATGTGACCAGTGCTGGCAATACATTGTCATCAGTACGTCAGTTCTCTTGCATGGATGGTTATCAACTGAGTGGCACAAGTTACACTATATGTCAGGCGAATGGTACATGGTCAACTGCTAGTCCAGTGTGCACACGTGAGTAACACACCATCTTCTATCTTACACAATCAGCTTATGGATTTAGCGAGTTTTGCATTCCAGCTCTTCAACCATAGTAAAACCTGTGACTAACGACCACCCCTTGGGGCCAAAGAAAGCGGTCTTTAGTGGCAGGTGGTCCTTAGTTCGAGGTTTGCACCGCACTACCATATGATATGGAGTGTGAGACTTTCTTGTGAGCTACTTGCGCGGCCATCTTTGCCATAGCTACCCAGGCCCTTTATCTTGCAGGCTCTCCTGTCGACTCGCTTTCTCTCCCATAATTTAGATCACACAACACCCCGTAACCTCGCCAACAGTGTCCGCATTTTCCTTCGGTTTGGCATCAAGACCATGCACAACAATTTTCTTCGGTTTGGGGCTCATACTTGAAGCAAAACTACTATTCAAGCTGCACCGAACTCGTGAGATTCAAGCGATTCAAACAAAGTGCTCATCCGTCATTTTGCCTTTGACATGTCATTGGGAAATCCCCTTTAATGCTTTGAAAGTCGGTAAAATTCCTTATTGGAAATAAGAAAAATGTTGAGATCGAAGTCGCGTGTTCAATTTATCTCAGCTCAATCATCTGTAGAGCTATCGCCCTCCCAATGAGCTATTGATCATGGCGAAGCGATATTCCGAGCTGGAGTAGAGCTGTTTGTACAGTGATCTATCCAGTGTGTACAGTATGTGCACTGTACAAAAAGTATAACTCAAGTATAATCGTCGTTGCTCGGATGCGATGCGGTCTACGTAACGAGTATACTCATCTTAAACCCGGACGTATGGCATGCATGGCATGTTTTGTTGTGTAGTTTAAAATGAGATAATGTGCAGTTCTTAGTCACTAGCAAGTCGTTGGATTTTTTGCAGCTCCACGTCACCATTTTAACTGGCCGTATATGCATATCCTCCAGCCGTCACCACCAATCCCAATATTGTCATAGACAGTGGAATTTGCACATTATGAAATGTGACAATAAGTTTCCAACTGATTGGATACTTCTTGGGACCCATTACAGTCAGGTTCTGGAATGTGTTGTCAGAGATGAAGGAAAGTGATTCATTTTCAAAGGTTTAGAAGCAAGTCAAAGACCAAACCATTTCAATTTGACCTCCCGATTCTTTCAAATTGAAGTGCAGTTCCATTTGCTCCACCAACTTGCCAGCGTAAGGATCTGACTTAAAGGATACTGTAGCCTCTGTATTCTACTGGCATTTTCTTTACTAACAACACTCTGTTGAGCTGATTTTGATAGGGAAGCATAAAATTAATACGCCGACAACTTTGAACTCGAGAACTTTGAATTCGAGAATTTGGAACTCAAAAATTAATTTTGAATGTGTATGCAGAAGTAACTTCATTCCAAGGTGACACAGTTGCATTTCTTTCTTTTTCTTTTCCGGTGCAACTAGAAATCACATGTACACCACCTCTTACTTCTCCCGCTAATGGTAAAATAGGCAGCAGCTCAAATGTCGTTGGTGGTGCGACCTCCTTCACGTGTAACTCAGGATTTACACTAGTGGGCACAAGTGCATCTGTGTGCACCACATCTGGATCATGGTCACAACCAGCACCAACTTGCCAAGGTAAGAGTATGATGAGCTCATTGCAGTGAACGTATTCCTATGTGAAGACGATAAATGTATATTCCTGTATCATAGTCAAACCAACCATCACTTTGGTTGCTTCCATCATTGTCTGGGAAAATTTGAACCTTTTCCAGGAGACTTTCCACCACTTGTCTGTCTGGCCACTGACATTATGATTCTCATATCCGTCCTGAATGGGACTCACGACGGTATATATTGACTGTGAGCATATGCGTGTGAGAGAGAGCGGCAAAACGAAAGGAAAAAGAAAGAGGGTGTTGTAATAAAGGTCAAATTTAAGAAGAGCAGTACTAGACTAAAATGGCTGAGCAGATGTTACTCCATCGTTTTCTGTCGCGTGCATTGCTGCCGAGATCACGAAGGCAGCTGGGCTTGAAAATGCAGATAAGTGTGAGGCAGATGTCTCGCTGGATACATGTGGTAAGGCAAGAGCGGGGTTCACCTAACTGTTATTCGAAAGGGCTGACTGGTAACATACGTACAGAAAGCAGTGAGAGAAACATTTGCGGGGACATCACTTGCCATGGCCATTTCAGATACAGAGCACTGTCCAGTAGCAGCATATAAATGTGCATTCGAGATGACATCTGGGTAGGTAATTCCAAGGGTTCACCTCAGCTGTTTCCTGTGAAACACATCTAGGCGGTTTTCTTGTGTTTTCTTGTTTCCTGTTCCGCTGCTCCGTTGTGCAGAAATTATGTGTTCTGGCTCAGTGACAGCACCGACAAATGGTAATGTGACCAGTGCTGGCAATACATTGTCATCAGTACGTCAGTTCTCTTGCATGGAAGGTTATCAACTTAGTGGCACAAGTTACACTATATGTCAGGCGAATGGTACATGGTCAACTGCTAGTCCAGTGTGCACACGTGAGTAACACACCATCTTCTATCTTACACAATCAGCTTATGGATTTAGCGAGTTTTGCATTCCAGCTCTTCCACCATAGTAAAACCTGTGACTAACGACCACCCCTTGGGGCCAAAGAAAGCAGTCTTTAGTGGCAGGTGGTCCTTAGTTCGAGGTTTGCACAGCACTACCATATTATATGGAATGTGAGACTTTCTTGTGAGCTACTTGCGCGGCCATCTTTGCCATAGCTACCCAGGCCCTTTATCTTGCAGGCTCTCCTGTCGACTCGCTTTCTCTCCCATAATTTAGTCGTAGTAGTTCGCCTTTGTCTCCGTCTCTTCGTCTACCCCAATAAATGTCGTTCTACCTACCTGTCCCGTTGTCCGTTGTGTCTGGGGAATTGAGTGAAAGCTATACTTAACATTACTAACCAAACTTGGGACGGAACGGGCTGCCAAGTGAGCATTCGCAACATCAAAATAAATCTGAAAGATAAGCGACAATTTTGCAGACCAAGTAGAAAATTTTACAGCTGCGTAATCGAGCTGAGGCGCGCGTCAGCGTGTGCCCTGGCGGCAATGCCTAGAATCAGTAGTGGCCCTGAAAAGGTTAAGTAAAAGGCGGAGGACATGCTTTCACAAATTCAATGCAAATTGTACTTACCTTTTGCTGGGTTATGCTGTCAATAAATGCTTTACATGTGCCACAGCGTGCACCTTCACATAAATACGATCCTTATGATATGCATATCAATTTTTGATCAGATCTGGATAAGAAGACCTTGGGATAAGACAAACTAACTGGTTAGACTGTATGCCTGTAATTTTGCTACATTGTGTGATGTGCTATCATCATGTTGGCATGGCAATGGTTTTTAATTAGTTCCGCTCTGTTTGCTGTACTAGGGTTCGCTTTTGGTTCCATAATCCGGTCGTATTTGTAGCGGATCTTTCTACTTGAAGAAGTTGTTCCAGAAGTTGAAAAGTTTCTGTAGGTTGAGCAACAAATCCTTGTGCATGGTTGTTGCAGAGAGTTCATCTGCTGCATTTTTCCTGAAAAAAACTTGTTTCTACTTCTTTCTGGGCAGTGATAGGATGCTTGCCGCTCGATGCTCCCGGAAATGGTTCCATCGTATCTAGCAGTCCTCTTCGGACGGATTTCGCATGCGACCAAGGATTTGCCATCATAGGCGATCCATCTCCGATGTGTTTGACTACGGCATACAATTGGACCTCTGGTACACCCACATGTGCAGGTGAGGCTCAACAGTAGTCAATCAATTTTTAAATACTAGTCCTAGCATTCACGCCTTCCTTTCCTTTAAATTGTTACGGACTGTTTCCACTATGGGTCGGTATTCTTAAAGCAGTTCCCTATTGTCGTTGTCTAGTGTGACTGCCGCTATAATTCATCTTTTTAAGGAGAATCTGATGCTGATGTATACAATGGAGGCCTAGAATGTTAGGAGTTATGCATGACAGTCCACCAAGGTAACGACAGGTAGCGTGACCAGGTAGGCACAGTGGGTTGGCCTTGGACCGTTTCGTATTTGTATTTGTTCAATATTTTCCTGGTTCGTCAAAGGACTCCCAATGACAAATGAATGTGAATCGAAGGGTGAGAGCCAACCTGGACGGGAAGGGGGGGGGGGGAGTGGTTCGTGTGTTAGTAGTCGTCGTGAGTTCCCCTCGGGAATGAACACAATAATTACCTTTGAGTGTGACTGAAAGGCAACAAATACCTGACAGTGGTAGTGAGATATACAACAACTTGACACCTAGCACCTGCGCGTCTACGAGGCAAAAAACCAACAACCTTCCAACGTTGAGTCTCCGGTGCGAAAAGATCAAATTCAGGGAAGGCAAGCGCAACGAATACTTGCACAACCTATGTCCGACGGCCACAAATTGCAATTTGCGTACCCTTTGCCTTCCAATTTTGAGTGTTTCTATTTTACGTTTCATAAATGTGCTGAGGCTATGTTTCAGGTCGTTGAATATCTCAGTACATACTATCAATTGGTGTGCCTTATTTGTCGCACTACCAGACTATCTCAACAATCTCGAAATAAGCCCAAATAATGAAAACTAAAAACATGGAACCAATTCAACTTGTAGCACAAAATAGCACGGCAGAACTAAGAGCTCGAGTGGTTAGAAGTGAATTCCATGTGTGTATTTGTGTGTGTGCATGTGTGTGTGTGTGTGTGTGTGTGTGTGTGTGTGTGTGTGTGTGTGTGTGTGTGTGTGTGTGTGTGCGTGTGTGTACGCCTGTGTGCGTGCACACGCGTGCGCGTGTATGTTTGGTATGGTATATTTTATTTTACTTCGCCCGAATGAACAGGCATTGCTGCCTTCTTGCCTGGACAAGTGGATTGTCCAAGCTCAAACAAAAAGACGAAGAATGTGCGTGCATGTGCGTGTATGTGTGTTTTTATGTGTGTATGTGTAATTTTGTTTGTTCATGCCTGTATATGTGTGCACATTTATGTACATGTATGTGCTTACATGTTTTGGTGCAGAACTGCCGGAATGCCCTGACCTCACTGTGGATAATGCAGATGTGTTAAGCGGCTCAAGCAAAGTGAACAGCACTCGTGTTGTCACTTGTACTCCAGGCTTTGAGATGTTGGGTGACTCAATGGTGGTCTGCCTTGACGATGGCAATTGGTCTAGCATACCTATCTGCTTCCGTAAGTATGTGCTTCACTCTACATGCAAACCTCAACTTGGTATTCAAAGAAAACAAGTGAGCCTCTTTAGGGAATGAGTTTGAACTGAAACAACTGATTCATAGGCTTCTAACCTGTCAGATGAGGGATATCTGTAGTGCCTCAAAGGATTCCGGTCTAGATTCGAGCTTCACTTACAAACCAAGAGCATAGTTTTCAGTGGTAGAAAGCACCTCAGAACAGTTACGGTATGGGTCACCGACTCACTCTCTCACCCTCTTTGTAGTGCTCTCTCACACAATCTCGTTCTCTCCCACATTCACTCACTCTCTCACTCATTCATTCCGTCATCCCAATTTGGAACCAGCTGCCTTCCTCTATCATCCCCCACCCATTTCACCCAAAGAACATCCAAAAGTTCAAGACAGCAGCTTATCACCATCTCCTCAGAACGAACTGGCACTGGGCCACTCATAGCATATGCAAGTAAGAGGGCACATTGTCCTACCCTGCTTGGACATAATCTCTCCTCAGATACAGTCTCCGCTTGAATATAAAAGTCTTACAGCGTTCACATCCGAATACACAACTTATTCTTTTGCTCCCTGAGTAATACAATATTTCCATTTTCTTTCTTCTGTTTTCTTTTTCAACTTAATCCTCCCTACCCAATCTCCCTTTGATGCGTCCATGGAGCTATGAAGCCGAGACCCCTGGTCGGCGGCGCTTAATGGGCCCCACCACCACACTCCATTATTCACCCCAGTGTCTGCAGATATGTGGATTTTGTGGAAAAAAAGAAAAACAACCCTCTCAATCAATATCTATCTCACACTCAATCAAGTAATCCATCTCTCCTCTCCGGCTGTGTTTACATGAGACGTTTCAACCCGGTTGAGTTCGACCCGGGTCAGATTTCAACCCGCCATATACACAAAATGAATGGCGCGTTTACATGACGCATTGCGCTTGGCCTTGGTTGAAATTTGACCTGGGTCAAGAAGATCGTACAAACGTACTTCTGTGCGTATCTCGCGCCAGGTTTGAACAGCACTGCACATGCAAATTCCGCGCAAACGGATTCACGTGACCATGCAGGACTCTAGAAGTGGACTTTTGGCGGCATATCAGTATTTGACCCGGGTCAACTGTCTTCATGTAAACGCTTAGGGCGCGCTCACACTGCGACCAAAACCAGCGTCCATGCGGCCATGCGGCCAAGTTGCATGGCAACGGCATGAACTTGGCCAAAACGTCGCGGCCACGTTTCAAATCGTGACCCCGACCTCCGGAGGGGGGTGCCACAACTTGGCGGCAACATGATCGTAGACGTGAAGCGTATTTGTGTACAACCTGGCCTGAAGTATGTTCAATTTCTCAAAATCCGGTGTGTTGATTCATGAAACTCGGCGGTTGTCGATCCTCGACATTTGCACATTTATAAAATTTTGTAGTTGTGGTCCTGCACGCACGCACCGCCATACATGCATTCGTTGCCCTTTTTGGACGATGTCAATTTTGGTGTTGTTTTTGTAGTTGCTTCGTTGTCAGTTGATCGGGTCAGTGACCAATTTCTACAGTGTACTCGTTCAATACGATGGTAGCTTGGCCTGGCTTTTCGGTTTGGGGAATCATCTTTCTCTACTTTTCTGCGATGATGGAATGCCATACCTCAAGACATTTCAGTTACATATCATCGGAAAATACAGTTCTCATCTCGGCAACAGACGAAAGAAACCACTACCGGAATTTCCACTGCACTGGCACTTGCTCTGACCACGAGGTCAGGAAAGCGAAAGCGCTTGGATGTCAGCGGCAGTCTCTCAAGAGTCCAAACCTACCCGATTGTATGACTTATTTTCGTCGAATTCAACAGTACGAGCCACGAGGCACTTCCTCCAAAATGCAACATGCGAAAAATTACATCCAAAACGGGCCACAACTTTATTAGGAAACGCACGAACTCTTTTGGATACGAACTGCAATTCGTAAAGTTTGTATGACAACTTCACGTCTACGCGTGTACGAGGCCTAGTGTGAGCATGACTAAGGGCGCGCACACTGCGACCATGAGCACGCGTCCATGCGTCAGCAAAACGCAGAAACGTGGCAGTCGTATTGAACGAGTAAACTGTAGTGTAGAAACTGTTTGAGCGCGCCCTTACCTATTTTGTCTATCGTACAGACTTTCAACCCGGGCTGAACTCGACCCGGGTTGAAATTTCTCACGTAAACACAGCCTTGCTCACAGACCCTCTCACCGTATAATGCACATGTCTCGCTGCATTTCAGACCTCCCTGTTATTCAACTGAGCTTTCTAAGCCTTTGTACATCCACGGGCATATGATTTGGCAGTCTGACAAGGCGCCAGAGGATTTTGGGGCAATCGCTAGCTTGGTTGTGTTGCTAGGCTGCTATGACAACGCTCAGTTGTGTGCTGGACCAGCCCAATATGCAGATTGTTTTGTCGAGCATTTTGCTACTGGTAGAATACACTGCTGTTTTAGCATTGGGTTTCACGATGCTCCGGCACACAATACCATTGTAGGAGTGTGAGGGGTGGGGATATAGTTTTTAGCATAGCTGGCAAAGGTCAAGTAATTTCTCATGGCTTATATACATGGGATTGATTTCTTGCCAAGTATAATTCTTGCATCGAACCCGAGACAACGACAGAAAATGAAGAATCTGCTCACTTTACTTGGAGAATTGTAACTCGTCAGTACTGGATATTTGTTGTGTTTGCACAGAACCTGTGGAGTTCAATCCCCTGATGGTTACGAATGGGAAAGTCTCTGAAGGACAGAACACTGTTGGCAGTATTAGAACAGTGATGTGCAATGCTGACCATAAACTCAGCGGCGATAGGACAATAGTCTGCTTGGAGGACGGCAGCTGGTCCAGCAGTTCAACGTGTAAAGGTGAGAATGAGACTGTGGATTTGAAATGTTATATTTCTCGCCGGCCGAGTTGAGCGAGATAGGCGTTGAACCCAGGGCGTTTTTATGACACCCGGAGATTGCCGCACAACACGTCACTTTCGGAAGTTCTCTCATGCCAGAAATGATTTCTCGTGTAACACTTTTTTCCCCTTCCCAATATGGCGTCTGATGTTTTTTCTCTGTCCTTTGCTCCGACATTCCGACGCTCTGAGCAGACACTGTCGTCACCAATCGCAACATCTTTCGCGTTGTTCTTTTTGCCTGACTTCTTCAGTATATATTTTTAGTCTCAACGGTGTCAGTCACATCTGAGTGAAGCCTACTGCACCTCACTGTGTGTGCTCCTGCCTCCGTTGTCTATGTCTATGTCGGCATGTCGGTGCATGTGGAGCGAGAACCTTTATTTTCATAATGACCAGTGACCAATGGATGAGAAACTATTGAAACTATTCGATTACATCATCAGTTGAGATTATTCGGCGAATTCACAGCCAGCGTTGCACTTGCACTAGCATAATTAGCTAAGTGGCCATTCGAAAAACAGCTGAATTACGCTCGTATGTTGTGATTAACATAAGTGTTTGTAAGGGAAACTGAGCATGCGAGTTGGTTCGAAAGGCAACAGCTGGATTGCAAGAGGAGGGGCGAGTGTACGTGCGAACGACACGTTTGGGCGTATTTTGCTGACTGTTGGGGTGTCATTCGTATGTGGAAACGTGCCAAAATGGAAATTCCAATGTGTTATGTTTTCAGCACGCATCAGACGCGTACCGGCGCATATGCCAGTCACTTTGACTGGCGGCGTCAAAAATCAGTACATGTGTTGGAGGCTGTCACACACCCTAACTACGACTCGAATTGTTTTTTTTTGTGATAGCCTGTGCGCGTGCTAGGGAACGCATTAACCATGAGCGTACCACATCCACACCCCAGTTGTGAACAAAGCTTTAGGTGTAAACGTGTTTTTTTCATACTTGAATCTCGGCAACAGACGAAAGAAACCACTACCGGAATTTCCACTGCACTGGCACTTGCTCTGACCACGAGGTCAGGAAAGCGAAAGCGCTTGGATGTCAGCGGCAGTCTCTCAAGAGTCCAAACCTACCCGATTGTATGAATTATTTTCGTAGAATTCAACAGTACGAGCCACGAGGCACTTCCTCCAAAATGCAACATGCGAAAAATTACATCCAAAACCGGCCACAACTTTATTAGGAAACGCACGAACTCTTTTGGATACGAACTGCAATTCGTAAAGTTTGTATGACAACTTCACGTCTACGCGTGTACGAGGCCTAGTGTGAGCATGACTAAGGGCGCGCTCACACTGCAACCATGAGCACGCGTCCATGCGTCAGCAAAACGCAGAAACGTGGCAGTCGTATTGAACGAGTAAACTGTAGTGTAGAAACTGTTTGAGCGCGCCCTTACCTGTTTTGTCTATCGTACAGACTTTCAACCCGGGCTGAACTCGACCCGGGTTGAAATTTCTCACGTAAACACAGCCTTGCTCACAGACCCTCTCACCGTATAATGCACATGTCTCGCTGCATTTCAGACCTCCCTGTTATTCAACTGAGCTTTCTAAGCCTTTGTACATCCACGGGCATATGATTTGGCAGTCTGACAAGGCGCCAGAGGATTTTGGGGCAATCGCTAGCTTGGTTGTGTTGCTAGGCTGCTATGACAACGCTCAGTTGTGTGCTGGACCAGCCCAATATGCAGATTGTTTTGTCGAGCATTTTGCTACTGGTAGAATACACTGCTGTTTTAGCATTGGGTTTCACGATGCTCCGGCACACAATACCGTTGTAGGAGTGTGAGGGGTGGGGATATAGTTTTTAGCATAGCTGGCAAAGGTCAAGTAATTTCTCATGGCTTATATACATGGGATTGATTTCTTGCCAAGTATAATTCTTGCATCGAACCCGAGACAACGCCAGAAAATGAAGAATCTGTTCACTTTACTTGGAGAATTGTAACTCGTCAGTACTGGATGTTTGTTGTGTTTGCACAGAACCTGTGGAGTGCAATCCCCTGATGGTTACGAATGGGAAAGTCTCTGAAGGACAGAACACTGTTGGCAGTATTAGAACAGTGATGTGCAATGCTGACCATAAACTCAGCGGCGATAGGACAATAGTCTGCTTGGAGGACGGCAGCTGGTCCAGCAGTTCAACGTGTAAAGGTGAGAATGAGACTGTGGATTTGAAATGTTATATTTCTCGCCGGCCGAGTTGAGCGAGATAGGCGTTGAACCCAGGGCGTTTTTATGACACCCGGAGATTGCCGCACAACACGTCACTTTCGGAAGTTCTCTCATGCCAGAAATGATTTCTCGTGTAACACTTTTTTCCCCTTCCCAATATGGCGTCTGATGTTTTTTCTCTGTCCTTTGCTCCGACATTCCGACGCTCTGAGCAGACACTGTCGTCACCAATCGCAACATCTTTCGCGTTGTTCTTTTTGCCTGACTTCTTCAGTATATATTTTTAGTCTCAACGGTGTCAGTCACATCTGAGTGAAGCCTACTGCACCTCACTGTGTGTGCTCCTGCCTCCGTTGTCTATGTCTATGTCGGCATGTCGGTGCATGTGGAGCGAGAACCTTTATTTTCATAATGACCAGTGACCAATGGATGAGAAAATATTGAAACTATTCGATTACATCATCAGTTGAGATTATTCGGCGAATTCACAGCCAGCGTTGCACTTGCACTAGCATAATTAGCTAAGTGGCCATTCGAAAAACAGCTGAATTACGCTCGTATGTTGTGATTAACATAAGTGTTTGTAAGGGAAACTGAGCATGCGAGTTGGTTCGAAAGGCAACAGCTGGATTGCAAGAGGAGGGGCGAGTGTACGTGCGAACGACACGTTTGGGCGTATTTTGCTGACTGTTGGGGCGTCATTCGTATGTGGAAACGTGCCAAAATGGAAATTCCAATGTGTTATGTTTTCAGCACGCATCAGACGCGTACCGGCGCATATGCCAGTCACTTTGACTGGCGGCGTCAAAAATCAGTACATGTGTTGGAGGCTGTCACACACCCTAACTACGACTCGAATTGTTTTTTTTTGTGATAGCCTGTGCGCGTGCTAGGGAACGCATTAACCATGAGCGTACCACATCCACACCCCAGTTGTGAACAAAGCTTTAGGTGTAAACGTGTTTTTTTCATACTTGAATTTTTCTGCACCATTCTCTCACAATAATCACAGGGATTCTATTGCGGCTACTTAGTAGTGTGTGTGTGTTCCTACGATCTGCTTTGCAGCTACTGGTCCTCCTGTGGCACTCATACCATCGACGGAGATCCAGGAACCTACTGCAGCCGCCTCAACATTCTTGAGCCAGGGTGGCAGTGTGGCTCTGATTGTTGTCATCGCTGTCTTATTTATGATGCTTTTGATCGCCGTCATCGCCATCATCCGGCTGCGGCGGGACTTCCCCGAGCATCATAAGCACGAGAGTCCCGTCAGCTACAACAACAAGAGAGAGAACGTGCAGATTGCGACCCTCACTCACACGCCGCCGATTCCAGAAAGCAACCTGTATGCCACGTTGAACAAACCGCACAGCGCGACGCCTGCAGTCCAGATGGAAGTTGCCTACACGGATCTCACATTTACCACCCCTCCAGCCGACTCTCCAGCTAACTCTCAGGTGTAACGAGGCGCTATTCAAGCATTGATCTGAATTTCATTGACGTAGTGGCTCGTGTTTTTTTTATTGATCTGTTGCATTCATGATAGATTCCATGTGATATGAGGTTGCGCATACATAAGCAGACCGATAGGTCGTGCTTCCATACAATCATATTCTTGTACGTTCACTTGCTTTTTTTCTCCATCCATCATCACCCCACAACTGCACTCTCCAGCCGACCTCGACACATTGCCACAGCGCGCTATCGGCAAAGCGACACATCCGTGGGTTGTACAACCCGTACAACGCCGTAATCTGCTACTTGCCCTTGTTTTTTAGTCACTTGCCTGGTCTTCTTTCCAGCTATCTCAATAAGATTATAATTATAGCTGTGAGTTGCCATGATGATGAGACTTTTCTTCCAGCTTTTTTGCTTGCACCTTGGCTCCAGCTTGCATTCAGAGTTGGAAAATCATATAAATGAATGCGTGTGCCTTGATTCGCTTTGAAACTAGACTTTTTTTAGAGGAAATTGCTATCAGATTGTTTCTCGTTTGCATCTTTCCCTCAAACCTGTGAATATGTTATGCATTGAGGTAGATATTTTTGTGCAGTGGATTTCCTCTAAGTTCGTGTGCAAGCGTAAATGTAACCCTTGCATACTGAACCTTCTGGTTTTAGTTGCCAAGCTGAGGTGTATTTTTCTCTTTGTTGTTGTAGAAGAAAATCCCGGCTCCTACCGTTGGATCTCGCACGTGGCACCGACTGACTAACACGGTCACTGGCTCACGACCGAGTCTGTAGCGCACGAAAAGAATGCTAAACCCTCCTGTTGGCAGCCCTGCACGAAAGCACCGGTCCCTGCTCAATATGCAGTGCTTCTGGCAATTCACCACGCAGCAATTGAGCTTAATTAGGCTACCATGATTCACGCTGTGAGAGCACCGCAGTATGTAGGTTTCCCCTGCCAGAACATTGCTGGGAGTACCTTCTAATACAGACGATCTATTTCCATGGCAACTAAAATATTGTGAATACAAGGAAGCATTGTGTGTTGGGGGTTGCACATGTACTGGTAGTTGTGAGCACAGACCCCGAGAGAGCGGCTTGACCATTGCTGACCATTCGCAATGCTGTCATGCACATCTGATACGGAGACTTCACTGAAAAAGAGTATTTTGAATTGTCCAGGGCCCTGCAGCATCTGTCCACTTGGGACTATGTCTCAGTATGCAACCCGGGTCTCACGATGATTCAGTTGCCTCGGAAACAGAGTGCATCTGATGACAATTTCCATCCCTGACCTGCATGCGTGAATTCTGAACGCACCCCGTGGAGCATCGGTTATCTAGACATTGGATATCCGGACGTCGATTATCTAAAACAGTTCACACCCCTTACTCCCCCCCCCCCCCTGGCAAGATCTGCTCACTGCAGGACTTGTAGTTCAGCATACCAGATCTTCGAGTCCGCAGACGCACCAATTACAATGTATGTACATGTATGCTGGCACCGCTGGCATGCCCGTCAATGCATGGTAGAAGTAGTCAATTCCCTTTTACGCTGAAAACCATAATCGGACGTCGAAGAAATCGGGAGGCTGCTCTTGCAATCAAATTGGCACTGGGAAGAAGAAAGGCAATAGACAAGTATGATATGCAAAAAATCATGCCCCCTCCCTCACACACACACACACGCACACCTAAAATACACATGCGCCCCATCCCCACTCACAAAACGATGGCACTCCCCCCCCCCCCCCCCCGCACAACACACGGACACATACAGAACGCGAACCCGCATGACCCCCTCTTCCGCACGTACACGCAAGCACGCACGCACACGCACCCCCCCCCCCCCACACACACACACACCGACGCACAGCGAAGCCGATATCACACATACACCCCAGGAAGTACACCAACACACTCCCCCCCCCCCCCCCCACCACACACAACCACACCCTCACCCACATCACATCATTATAATACACCCACATCCCCCCCCCCCCCCCCCCCACACACACACCCATCACCACCACAAACACAGAACACATGATCACGCCCAACACACAAGTGACACACCCACCCACGTGAAGCACTACAAATTGGACCTGATTCTCGCATAAGGATTGCCAGCAGACAACCTCGTGTCAAGACATTACATGCTGGCGTACATCACAGACATGCACTAAATTCCAACGTATCACAAGTCAATTTCTCCCCCAGCCACGAGCATGCACAACCACACATTCACAACCACTATGGACAATAGAGAGTGTAATTCGGTTTCACTTGAACTAAAACAATCTTCGACATTCAAATTCAGACTTCTATGTGCCAGTGAAGGACTCGATATATATAGTAAATAATCGTGTCCGTTCCTGAAGAGAACTCACGACGGCCGCTAACACCCGGTAAACCCTGGCGGCAGATGCAGCGCCCAACCGTGGGGGTGAGTGCATAAGTCTCACAACCACTGGCACAAGTGCCGAGAAATCCCATTAGCCGCATTCATGTACCCCTTGTGCCTGGCCACAAGTTCCCAGCTTACTGTGGGTAGCAGCGCGGTGGGGAAAACCGCTCGCAGGCAGGACTTGAATCAGGTACCCCTCGTATTTCAATCATGGCCTTTGACCAACCCACTGTGCCTGACTCGACCTAGAACAAACAATAATAAAACCAGTTAAAATAATAATAATAATAATAATCCATTGGTATCGTTACAACGTTTCGGTCATAGAGTCCGAAACGTTGTAACGATACCAATGGATTTGTGTGAAATGCAGTGCTCTCTTGAGTGTAGGCAGGTTGCCTGCAAACAATTCAAGTAATAATAAATTATAATGAAGCTGCGTGAAGCGTCCTTCAAAATTTTGAAATAATAATGATAATAATAATAAGGCTCAAACCTGAAAGTGCTGCGTGTGACTTGTAATGGGATGGGAATATTAATCGGGGGAATATCGTACATGCGTATGCCAGTGAACTTGCCTCAGTCCCACAAGGCAGCATCCTGGGGCCAACCATGTTTCTCATCTACATTAACGACGTATCAACCTGCCTTGCTGGGAACAGGCAGCTGGAAGCCTATGCTGACTATACGACATTGTACACTCTTCTCCGTAACCTTCTCCCCACTGCTGCTGCCTTGCTTCTGGACACCGTCAATCGTCTGTCAGACTGGGGCAAGGAATGGCGCGTAGCGTTTGAGCCATCGAAATCCCAGGCTATGACAGTCACGCTGCAAAGAGCCCAGCTAGCCTTGCCCTCTCTCCTCTTTGGAGGCAACCCTGTGCCTGAGTCATCCACAATAGAGCGCTTGGGGGTGACTTTTGATCCAAAGCTGTCCTTCGCGGAGCACATCCGCGCAGTGTATATACGTGGTAAACAGCACCTGGGCCTCCTGCGGGGAGCTGCGCTCTATCTCTCCCGAGAAGGCCGCCTCCCGGTGTACAGGGGGTTTGTACGACCCGTTTTGGAGTATGCTCCGCTCGTCTGGATGGGAGCTGCTCCCTCAGATACTGCACTCCTAGACAGCATCCAACGCCGTGCATTGCGCATCATTGGTCCCGGGACGGAGCTCCAGAGCCTCAGCCTACGGCGATATGTTGCTGCATTAACACACATGTACAAACTGCATTTCATCACCGGTCCAATTGCTAGCAGTCCTCCCACCAAGGCTTGAGCCCCGTGACGCCACTCGCACTCGAACCGATGTCCGCACGGCCGCTGGCCACAGTTACCAGCTAAGAAATCCCCTACCGCGTCAAGCACCAGACACCATTCTCTGCAGTTTCCCGTATTGTGCAATCCAGCTGTGGAATTCCCTGACGCCAGCTTTTCTAGACTCCGCCCCAACTCGCAAAAATCTTCAAATGTTTAAATGCAACGTCAACGAATACTTCCGCCGACAGGATTGGCGATGTTCCACGGACATTCTGCCTGTCGACCTGCCTACATTCTAGCGCCCCGTCAACGACTCCCATTGCTACAAATGTGCTGCACACTAGTACTAGCTGTTATTAGCCCTTGCTTTCTTTTTATGTTGCTGACCCTTACAGCTCTATCTTTTCTTTTTGGTGAGTGTTTCTGGCCGTGATGCCGAGACTTCAGGTCGGCAGAGCCATCAATGCCCCACCATCACTGCTGTATCTCGCTGCAGCCCCTTCTCAGTAGTTGTCACGTTTGTCCTTGTCTCAGTACCATTGTCTCGGTACCATTGTCTTTCATTGGGCGCTTTCGATTACACGTTAACACAATTCTGGAACTGGGTTTTGTAATTCTCGAATGACCAAAATTTACGAATTCCGGCCATGTAAACGAACGACTGGAATTCACAACGCATTTTATTCATGGCATATCACAAACAATTGGTCGTAAAAGGATATCACATACACCCTCGCGCGCGTGTCGACACAGCTTCGCGTACCGGTCCATCCCGGCGAAGGCACGTACGTCGCAATCGAGCTATGTCGTTGCTGTGTCATCATCTATGTGCCATGCGCTACTTGATGTACCAGCCTGCTATGCCGGATACCGCCAGCCATGCATCGACCAGGCGCCAGGCGCGAACTGATGGTGGTGGTGGTGAGAAGGAGAGCTCTGTGCCAGAACTTTGCAGCCTAGAGAGCGTGTGTGGGCAGGCGTGTGTTTACCGCCATATTGCCAGGTGTGTCTTTACCACCATATTTATCAACCGTGTGTGTGAAAGGACCACCCAAAACGATCTGGTCTAATAATCAGCTCCCAGCGGAAACTCAACTGAGGCAATTAGCTTTTCGGGAAGACAACAGTAGCAATTACATGCAGCTGTAGCCCTGCTTTCGCGCCACACCGGCCAGGGAGGTTCTTCCTTGACTTGAGTCATGCATGACCAGACCGGTAACACACCGATTGTGCAATTCTGGCGCCAGAATTAGAGAAATTCCGCCCTCTCTTCAGAAGTGACGGGATTTGACGGAATTGGACAAAATTAATTCTAAAGACGGAATTTGTCACTTTTTGTGTAATCGAACTGTGCATCAACAGTAACTAATTCTAGAATTGACCGAAATGCGTGTAATCGTAAGCGCGCATTATTATTTACGAGTTGGGTATGTGAACATAGTAAAAAAAAAGAAAATGTCAGGAGTACGATATCGTGGCATTGAACAATCACACTATTTTCTGTACACGGAACACTACGTAGACGTACTGAGTAGTGATGTTTGCATTCAGTATGCCAAGCTTAATTGTTCCCCGCAAGGAGCATCCCTGAGCCATCACAAGAAGAGAGCACCGTAGGACCTATGCCGGCCAGTCGCATGAACTGCCACGACCCTCTAGTGATGGTCAAAGTGCACCAAGCTCGACAGCAAGACATTCCATTATGTACATATTCCGTGGAAATACATGGGCCGCGATCAGCTAAAACATGTCTTTGGGGTTTCGTAAAAAAAGTTGGGAAATGACGAAATGAAAAAAATGTTTTTTTTGGAGCGCGTTCACTCTGCACTTCATTCATGATGTGGCGATCATCTTCTCAAATTTTGTTCAAACACTTGTTTGGCGGTCTAGTTCAAGTAGCTGGCGAGCAAAGACTGACAATGTCCGCATCTAGTGATACTAGAGCAGCTCGCAGGGCCAGACGATCGCTGTGCATGGCCCAGGTTTGTTCAGGTGCCTGCAAGTCCGTGGCGGCGGGTCTGCAGAGCGACGCTAACAATTTGTTGGGATCTCAGTGATGTTGATGTCGACAGCGAAGCTGAATCGTCCCCGTCGTCTCCAGTAGCGAAGAGGCACAAGTTGTGGGCTAGTACATAATCATTAGGCGGCGAACCGGCTGCCTTACGACGTTACTTGCGTTCAGCTCTCATGAGTCGTCTGACGCAGTCTCGGAAGCGCAGGCGATGATCGAAAGTGTCACTACCAGAATCGAAAGAGTATGCAAGTGCAACGCCTCCCAGAGCATCGTGTTGCTTTCCAGGAAGAACTTGGGCCATGCCTTTGAACTAATGTCGTTGACATGCTCAAGTCTGCGTCAACATATTTAGTTCCGTTGTATTGTGCTCCGCCACAAAAGCCACAAAGTAATAATAGTTTGTCTCTTTGTGTCAGACTGTGTGAAAACTGTCATTTTCTATTTCAAAGTACATATTTTGAAAGTGGTGTTTGGGGCACTTGTATATTACTTTTCTTCCCTGTATCACCTTCAAGAGGTCAAGTAAGGTCCCAAGAACTGTTTTCTGGAGGAAAACAAAATTTGAAAAATTTCACTCTAAGACATGTTTTAGCTGGTTGTGGCCCACATAAGTAGTGGAATAGGTAGTGCAATAGGTAGTGCAATGGAATAGATGGAATCGATATTAAGTTACCTTGGACACAGCATTCAAAGACATGCCAACGGACAGACTGAATAGGAGAGAAACAGACAGACTGAGTGGGAGAAAGGGACAGACTGAACGCCTCCTCATATTCACAACATCGAAGCTTCTCGCATATGCTATTCCCATAGCGGGCGCGTATAGAGGTGTACATGCTTTACTTGCGATCTTCTGGAGGTGCACTTCACTCATGTGCGGAATTTGGTCCCATCCGCAGCTGTAATCGTGGTGTATCTGTGTATTTGCCCGAGTTGATGCCTTGTACATGTACATGTACATGACATGCTTGGATCGTGCCAGTGCTGCCAGCTTTCACATGCAAGTGGCTCCTGGTTGAACAACATCAGCGCAACAGGAGGAGAAAGCCCACGTAAAGCACGATTCTCCAACGAGGCTTACTGATTCTACGCAAATATTGACTTAGATACCGTTTGTTACAATAAAATTAGATTTTATAAGGCTAGAACTTGGGGTGGTGGCGTCCCACGGAAGCGGAAAGGTGGTTCTTGACCAGGGAGTTGCACGACTCCTTGTTCTTGACCTGCCCGGTACGCGAACCCGTCGAATATATTTTTATGTTTTAGAACATGACCCCATACTGGCTAGAATGATGGTATTTTATGGCGCGCACAAACAAGTGAAGTACTGTGCCACAGCGGGTCACTTACAGTTGGGGTGCTGTTGGTTGGTTCTCGGCTAGCTGTTCAACCACTGCTAAGATAGTCTTGCTCGAGGTTCTCACCCGCTTCAGAATCCCGACTTGCCCCTTCACGAGTCTGGAAAAGGTTGGCTCGCCACCTGGTTTTCGGGTCAAGACAAAGTACTTCATCTCCAGCTCACTGTCAGCTGCCCGCACTGCAACTGATTTGAACGGTGGACAGCCACTTTTGCTGGTGCTCAGCGAACTGCATCACAGAACATGCTGATGCCAAATTGACGGCGTGCTGGATGATATTGGCGTCAGCGCTAGAGCCGTAACATCAGCATCAGCATCATGAGCTGAGAACTCTCTCCCATCTACTCTACTGTGAGGCTGCAGCTTGGGAGCTTTGGTATCGTGGCTTTCATTGCAGGAACGGTTTCACATAACCCGTGAACCAACTCCGCAAGACTCTCACAGATACGATGCTTCCTGCCAGCATGCAGCAGGACTTGCATATCAAATCTGTGGCAGTTGTGCGCAGCCAGGAAGCAAGAGCAACTCAAAGATTCCAACTACAGTAGTTTTGCGGTCTACAAACTCAGTGACTCCGTCCAACTGCGAATGCGCAGACACACCACCAGTGGCTTTGGTGGTGGAGATCGCCCTTTCCGTATTCAGGTACTCGATCGATTGGTTTGACTTCACGAAATATCCCCCTCCTCGGCTTCTGAACCAGAACGGAAAATGCGAGGCTGCGTCGTGGGTGACGGGTTACTCTGCCCCTTATTCATCTCCACGAAAGGTCGGCAGGAAAACCAACCTATCGGCCAAAAACCGGCGATGTCAAAACAAATCCTCAGGGCACTAGTGGCAGATCTTCTCCCTCAAATCATGTCAAACTTCAAATCGTTTCGACTCAAGCACGAGTTCAAACTGTGTTGATCGGGCGCGATCGCGTCCCATTTTTCCACTCCACAAGGCATCGATGGTGCTGCTCTCCACACTGTCTACTATAAGCTTTTTTGAGAACACTCCATTTTTTCAGAAGAGAGCGGCTAGAGTATCAGATCCCCAGCATGTTTTCGTTCCAAGGACTAAACCACCAGACTACTTTTTACAGTTACCAGGTTACACTGGATACTAGCTACCGGTACAACAAGAACAGGGATTTTCAACTCGGGTCATCTGTGATCGACTCGATGGTCTCTGGGCCAAATCCTCATAGACCGCATGGGATGACTCATAGAAAGTCAGGAATTCCAAGAAGGACTGTCGCTGTCGACATGTCGCGGACTCGCCGTGGGTGACACGACCCACGGCCACGCCGCCGCGGGCCAAGGCCACCATAGCCTATGCCATATGCATGATATGGCCATATGGACCTGTCAGTCCATCGCTCACTTGAACTCAGGTACCAGGAGATGACCCCAATATTGTTTGAGTTCACAAAAATGGAGCGATGGTACAAAAGTGGTATAATACCAGCATGCACGACTAGACTATGCAGAGGATACACCGGGAAGGATTTTTCTTACAGCCGGTGTCATTGAACTAACTTACTTCATGGTAATCTTGGAGAATGTCGAGGAGAGTTTGTTTCTCGCCAGTCTGTAGCAGAACGAGTTCTAGACACCATCAGTTAGGTCACAACGCAGCTGGAGAATCCACGGAGTTCGAAAGATAGATGAGGGTGAGTGCGCCGTTGTGTGTAAGTCTCTCTCGTCCAACCTACCATTAGCTCGTTTCTCGTAATTACAAACAACTTACATGAATATAGGACACCGTGTCCTGTATTCAGTAGAAACAGCTCGCAGAGCACATTTTATCCTGGCGTAAAGCATCCATGCACGTCAAAGCTCTTTCGTCGGTAGGCTATCGCTGGCTCCCCTCGCATGTCCGCCGCGGAACCTTCCCCCCCGCGGAGACTCGCCGATGTCTTGTACTAATTCAACAACGAAAATTATAGATGTTCCGCTGCACATTCAGTAGTGTCAGCTCTGTCGTCCTACATGCTTCCGGGCCGGCTTTCTTCAGGTTATGGCGAAATTCACGACCAGCCAGTCATCGCAGACGCATCCGTAAAACACCACCTCAGCCGAAAAAGTGCTGAGCGAACGAGGGATATGATTATTTTGATTTGCTTAATTCAACTTGAGTACTATTACGGAAGGATCATACCATGATTACGAGTGATACCAAGAGTACATAACTCCCCCCCCCCCCCCCCCCCCAGAGTGTGCAGCGCCTGATCCAGCTCTGCATAGAGTCTTGGTCGAGCGTAATCCGATCTTTGCGTCATAGTACCGTTCACATCTGACGGGAACCCGGTGATCGGCGGATCAAATGATAACTGCCTCGAGACAGGCCTTGGTGTGGAGTGTACGCATGGCATCAGAAGATCCGACTACGCTCAACCAAGACCCTGTGCGGAGGAGCTGGATCACGCGTTGCAGACTCTGGGGGGTTATGTACCCTTGGTAATATGCACCGAATATTTTCCTGATTGTGTGGCAGAGTGATGTAAAGACTCCCGTGCAGGGCCATAACAAATTATGTAGCAGAGAAAGTGCGTAGTATGAGGGGGGAAGATGAGACATAGTATACACAAAGTTAGAATGATAATCCCATGGTGAACCCTGACTTACACTAAAAAAACGTGTTTACTTTTTGCGTGGCCTAGGTGAACGGGGTACAGTCAAATTCGCTAATAACGACTGCGAATATAACGACAATTCGCGAATAACGACCGAATTTCCATGCCCAGAGCAAAGTCCCATCTAACTGTATACATTTAACTTCGGATATAACGACTATCTGAATAACGACAATTCGCGTATAGCGACATGCTTTTAGTGCCCCGAGGTCATATTCACTGCTTGAATAACGACTTTCTGGGCTTTTGACAGCTATTTCAAGTACCTGTCAGTCAAGTACATGTACCTGTCATGCAGAAGTACCAGAACCTATGGTGATGGATATTATTAATAATATTATAAAGGCACACATGCAAGAAAATGCAGCCAAGGGGGGGGGGGGCTTTTTCTTCCTTTTTTATGTTGGCTTCAAAATTGTTGGATTTACCAGCACACCTATATGTATACAATGTACATGTAGTTGTACATGATTGTACAGTAATCATCATACATGCACATGTCCCTGGCCCTGTAGAGTGCTCAAAAAGGCATATTTTTCAATTGATTTCCCTTGCATATTGAATTTTTAGTTCCTTTCAACTGCAATATGAAAATAAAGTACACATTGACATAGAGCAAGAGCTTGACAAGAGCTTGATTTTGATATGCATGTCATACTAAACAAAATATGGGTTCACATACATTCAAATGGGACTTCGGATATAAGGACACTTCGCGAATAAGGACACTTTTCTGATGCCCCGCCGAATGTCGTTATTGGCGAAGTTGACTGTATAGTGTAAAATCGGAAAGTCTAACGAGTCACAAAGTCTATCATTTTAACGACCAATTTTTATTCGCTATTTAAAGAAACGTTATCCCAAACCCAATGTGTGAAAATACGCATACATCGATGCATATTCTTGGTGGCCAGGTAGCCATTGTTAAATTTTCTGCACGTTATCAGGCCAAAATGACAAACAAGTTAAACATTTTGGTCGTTAGACTTTCCGGTTTTACGGTAGCGATTTGGGTAATTTCAGCCGTCCTAAGCGGGGCATTTCCAGCAATATACTAGCTCCGTTCAAATTTTCATCCCATTCTGTTCAAGCCATGCTCCGCTCAGTTCACACGATATCCATTCTGTTCAAACTTACCATCCCGCTCGGTCCACATGGGTCAGTCCAAAAGTAAAACAGGGAGCTGTATATGTTGGCCACGCTCTATATTTGCAAAAGTGAGCACAATGAATTGCACTCAAAAGTGAGAGAAAGAGAGAGAGAGAGAGAGAGAGAGAGAGAGAGAGAGAGAGAGAGAGAGAGAGAGAGAGAGAGAGAGAGAGAGAGAGAGTTGCACGTATCTGAGGCGTCCGGATTAGAAACGTTTGAGTTCATACCCGTCATACTCTGTGTATACCTTGTCTCTCATATTTCCCCTTTCAGAAAAATATTCTACAGTGCCTCCCCCCCCCCCTCCCTAATACATTCATATACAGGTCCTCCCTCATTATAACGAGTCCGGTTAGTACATAAACCCCGATAGTAAATAGAAATCTGAAATCCCCTGGCAAAACGTGGTCTATACAACTGTTTACAGGTCCGGTTACAACATAATCCGTTAGTACATAAAAGTCGTTATAACGACCCTTTGCCCAGGTCCCTGGAGTGCCAAACCCTCAGTATAAGATAATACTGACCATGCAGGACCAAGGCCAAAACAGCTAGGATAAAGCAGAAGGACCAAACGTAATTATATCTATGTATTCGCGAATATGGACGATCCTTTTCATCCAAGGAAGAGTTATGTTGAAGATTTTCAATTGTCTTATAACGAGTTGAAGCATTGATAATTTTTGTTGTATCGAGGGTAGCCCCAGTAAGTACGAAGTAGTGCCTACTTCACCTTTAGCTGCAAGTCCTGCTACAAGATAAGTCTCGTTATAAGATAACTTTTTCGATGGCCCAGAGATTATCTACTAACGAGGGAGGACCTGTACCCAGGTCCAACTGGCCGTTGATTGGCTGAAATTGCCAAAGTCATACAATGTATCTTATAATGGAAATTATGAAATACAATAAAGCTCAGAGCTCCAACAGCAAGCATAGCTTGCACTGGGATTAAGACATTGAATAAGGTCCATACACACACCATGTACACACACATACACACGCTCATGCACACACAGGCACACACGTGCGCACACACAGACACACACATGCACACACACGCACGCACATGCACACACACACACACACACACACACACACACCCACCCACACACACACATAACCGTCCTGTCCTGTAGAGCCACTGCCACAGGGGTCACGTGGGCCCCGGAGGGGCATCAGAGAGGAAGATGGAGCACGCAGCCTGATGACGCCGGAGATGGTGGGGCAGACGGAACCGGCGAGAACACACGCATACATGACTGAACGAATTACGCTGCCGGGCAGTCGGGCGCGGGCCAGTCCTCGAGCACCGGTGACGACCGCGGCCTTGCACAGACCGAAAACAGCGGGCACACACAGCACAGTGCGCAGCACAGCAGGCATCCTGCACATAGACTTGCCGGGGCTCGGGAGGCTGAGGCTGAGGTGCGGAACAGCGGTGAACAGCTAGACCACCCTTGCTGCGAAACCAACGCCCACAATCTCCACAGTGGCAAGCCCCTCGCTGCTCAGCAATCGGCTTTGCCCGCTCAACCACACATTTGTGGCAAGCACGATCTCCAGGGCGCGAGAATGAATGATTGCAATCCGCACATACCACTGGGTCAGGCTAAGGCACATTCTCCACAGGCTCGGCGTACATAGTCCGCCAGTCAGCGCGGGACTCACAGGCGATAGGGTACCATTCCTTGGTGAGGCCACGAACTCTTAGGTCGGAGACAACGCAATCCTTCCAGTGCTTGCGAGGGCCATGTGCTGGGCGGCGTGTGGGAAGTGAGCCAAACAGGATCTGTCTCGGCATCCGGCTACTGTCCATTCGGGCATCATGGCCCAGCCACTCTAGGCGCGCACACGCACACACACACACACACACACACACACACACACACACACACACACACACACACACACACACACACACACACACACACACACACACACACTACTACTACTACTACTACTACTACTACTACTATTGACAGCTGCCAGAAATGGCCACGCCGCTCCCCAAAGGGAGGCACTGCACACACACGCACGCGCACACACACACACACACACACACACACACACACACACACACACACACACACACACACACACACACACACATGGCGTACGTTTCTCCGTATAGGTCATGTATAGATCCTTGTCAGTTTTATGCCATTTTCTCGCACTCGTTGATTGTATGTGATCTGGTTACAGTTAGTCATAACTCGCAACCTTGTGTCCTTCTAATTTTTTTACCAATACATTGAATTTGTTGTGAAAATTAATAGAGTGCGTCTTGAATAGAGACACGTTGCCTGCAAATTGATTTTGTCATGACCGTGTGTTTGGAGTATCACTATTGGATTATACTAGCTGCTTCACCGTGTGTATGTCTGTGCCTGCTTTGGTGCATGCACTTGAATGTGTTTGCATGTATTTTTGTTGTGTGCACTAGGACGGTGATGCACTCTGGTTGGTTAGGAAAGCGGTTATGACTTTTCAGCGGCTATGTGATGCAGACATAGATCATTCTCATAGTGGACCCCAGTAGAACCTTGATTTCCGCAACTGCTGAGGCACCTGAAACTAGAGGTAAGATATATGTGTTGGCGGGTTTGTGACCAGACTTAGGTCAGTCTAGTGGCTACCCAGGTAGACAACCAATATAGTCGCCACCCAAGTTAGCTAGCTCACACAGAACGACAGGTTTCTAATTCCACTTGAACGGTGTTTGATGAACCATTGCAGTGCTAGATCGAAAGATCAAGTGTGAAGATTCAAAGACCCAAAGCAGGAAAGAGTCGGAGTGACTCTCTCACAATCGAGAGTCAATCGGAGGAGTAGTGAGCTCCCCGAGAGTCGAGGATGAATGCCAGCAAAACAGCTCTTTATATTATGTGATCAAAAGTACCCAGCGGGAAGAATGCGTAAGGATTACTGTAAAAGCAGAAATTTTCGTTCGTGTTGTATTTTCGGTAATTTCGGTGCCGAAATTTTTACCGAAAATAAAACGCACCGAAAATGCCGAAATAGTACTAGTACACTTATCTGAAACGCGGGTTTACCGAAAATTTCCCTCCGCCGAACTGCCGATTTTGGAGAATACCGAAAATATTACACCACCGAAAATTTCTGCTTTTACAGTATTTCTATAATTCAAACAGCGGTACAATCAGCCTAGCTAGAACAGAGTACAAAGATCACCTCTCACCCAAAACGAATATTACTTATCTCCAAAATACTTCCATGATCTTGGTCCGCGATCCGATGCACTGCGATGCATTGCAGCAGGCGGGAAGCGTAGCTACGTCCTTCTTGTAGGTTCACCCAATGTGGGCTCTTCCCCCCAAACATAGCTGCAGGCGGCAATGCCGTGATCCTTCCAAAAGGGTACGGAGTCCACAGTACACAGGGGATTGCAGACCCTTTACGTCATACGACGCGAGAAGAGGCGCCACTCCTGCTCAAGAGGCGCCACTCTTGCTCAATCAACAAGGGTATCGGCTCTAGGCAACAAGTTGTAAAAGCCATGATTGCTCAACTAACGAAAGTACCAAATCTTTCGAAGGACTAATCATGGCTCTTACAGAACTCTAGAATATTTCGAAGCCCAGTTTTTGGCTGCTGAACTCAATGCGTGGTTGCTTTCACCACGAGTCAGGTTCGGGTCATGACAAATGCAAGGTTGTACAAATTCTATCATGCACAATTAACATCGGCATGCTTACATTAAGTGGCCAAGCGTAGGCGAGAGGGCATAGCGAACAGTTCAGCAATTTTGCCCTCGCATCACTTTGCTCTAGAGCTGGTTTCCAGCATTGTGGAGGCTTGCAGTATGGTATGCAGTATCTAGCATGCGTGCATGAATGGACTCCAGTGATAAGTCAGAAAATGAAGGTGTTCATCAGTCTGGAAGTGCTGAGGAGCATAAAAAAAGAAATAAATTATCGTGTCCATTTCCGAAGGGAACTCTCAATGGCTGCTAACATCCGGTAAACCCTAGCAGCAGATGCAGCGCCTAACGGTGGGGGGGGGGGGGGGGGGGAGGGGGGGATAAGTCTCACAACCACTGGCTATAAGTTCCCAGTTGACCGTGGGTAGCCGCACAGCTGGAAAAAACGCTCCCAAGCAGGACATGAACAAGCTCATAATTATTTATTTTACGAGTTGGGTTTGTGAATAATAGTAAAAAAAAAAAAAAAAAAAAAAAAAAAAAGCTACCTCTCATATCTCAATCATGGTATTTGACCAACCCACTATGCCCGCCTGGCTCACGAGCTTGGTTTGGAATTTTCTCAATTTTGCAGCCACCTGACACCTGTGCAGACCCCTGCTTGTGCTGCGGTCTTGGCATGGCAAACCGGCTTTACACGATGTCTGCAGAACGGATCAAACATTTGGTCCACTGTCATCCTTAGGTTGTTCATGGTAGCGACCTAACCCGTTGCAGGGTTATAGCCCGAAGAAACTGAAGCGGGGGGGGGGGATCATCGGACCCGATTGTGATTTTACCCCTATTTTCGGCTGCCAATTTGGCCACTACTTTCACCGACACCAGGAAGCAAACGATAATTTTCCATTCCACGTGGTTTTCACCAGCCAAGGCACCTCAGAAGTAGCCTAGATCGTGAAATTGCTTTCTGAGAGTTTTCTCATTTGATGCCAGACTGATTTGACTAAATGCAGCTGTAGCTCTACCAGGCTTGCTGGCTGCAGGTGTTCGTGATAGTGCTGCTGTGCTGGTTGTCCACACACACACACGCGCGCACGCACATACGCACGCACGCACACACACACACACTCACACACACTCACTTGCAGCTGATTGGCTGGCAGGCATAGCTGGCTGGCAGTCAGATGGGAGAACATCAGGCACAAGTAATTCGGTAAGATCAGGGACTTTATCTGGAGCGCCTGAAGCCGAAGCAGAAGCCAGCAGTTGTGGCAACGCTGCCGCAAACATTTCCTGCAGTGTCTGCGCCTAAGGGCCGGGTTCACTGCGGCTCCACAGCTCCGCTGCTCGTCTTTCGCGGCTTGAACGTCATCATTACCATTTTCCTGTACCAGCACATTTTTTCCAGGTGTCAGGGGCCCAGCCTCCCTGCCCATCCAACTCGCAACACACAACAGCGCAACTGAACTAAAAGTTCTACATATTATCTTGACAAGACGAAGACGGACAGACAAGAAGACCGGACACGACGAGGCACAACTGAAGAAAAGGACAAACGTTGCGGCAGCATATATGAGCATGCGCGCGCGCGTGCGCACGAAATAATGTTGCACGCGCGAGGATGACGTAAGCGTTCCATGGTGTATACATGTACAGAAGACTGCACATGCAACCAAAACAATGCAACAAAGTCAAGACTTAACCACTACGAAATAAAAATAAAGAACAATATAAATAAGCCATGAAAAGTCTTTCACTCTAGACCCGTTGCGCAACATACTCCCCGCCAAAGACCTTTTCAAGGCTCAAGGAGGCTGCAAACTGTACTATAATCTATGCTGCACGCATAGATAATCTAAACTCACAAACGGCAAAATAAATAAAAACAAATGAACGATCAAGGGGCTAACAGAAAATACAAACGGAAGTCAGCTTCCGAACTGTCACCAGGCACCAGCAAATCAAGGCAATAAACTACAGTCAACATCCGAGCCATCACCAGGCCAAGCACAAACAAATAACCTACAGAGCCAACAATACATCCGACCTATCACCAGGCCAGGCACCAACACATCGAGTACAGATCAAACAAATCGAGCAAATCAAAACTACAAACTTTTACAACAAATCAAAGCAGGAGCACCTTCTAAACTCCCTCACACTCACTGCGGGTTATTTGTTCACGATGCATTTTCCTTCGCGCCCTCCATGTCCTTTTTCTTGTCATCGAGAAGAGCGCCCTGCAGGGTTCCTCCACTGTGGACGACCGTACCGTGGGTTATTTGATTTCGATGCGTTTTCCTTCGCACCGTCCTTGTCGGATTCAAGCAGCTCCCTCAGAGGTCACACAATCCCAGGTACAAACTGCGGACAACGGCGCAGCTCCCTCGTTGGTCACTCTTCCACTCGTGCACGGGGTAAACTGCTTCCCAACGACGTAGACGTACAGATGGTTATTTTATTTCGATGCGTTTTCCTTTGCACCGTCCTTGTCGTCGGACTCAAGCAGCTCCCTCGGAGGTCACACAATCCCAGGTACAAACTGTGGACCACGGCGCAGCTCCCTCGTTGGTCACTCGTCCACGCATGCACGGCGCAAACTGCCTCCCAACGACGTAGAGATACAGATGGTTATTTTATTTCGATGCGTTTTCCTTCGCACAGTCCTTGTCGTCGGACTCAAGCAGCTCCCTCGGAGGTCACACAATCCCAGATACAAACTGCGGACAACGGCGCAGCTCCCTCAATGGTCACTCGTCCACGCATGCACGGTGCAAACTGCCTCCCAACGACGTAGACGTACTAATTGTTATTTGTTCTCGATGTGTTTTCCTTCGCACCAGAGTGCCTGCATTTTCCTCGTCTTCCTGACAATCCTGGCGTGGTTGCCAATTTCCTGCACCAGCACATATTCTCCAGCCGTCAGGGGCCAAGCCTCCCCGCCCATCCGACTTGCCACACACAACAGCGAAACTGAACTAAAAGTTCTACATTTCTTGACAAGACGAAGACGGGCAGACAAGAAGACCGGACACGACGAGGCAAAATTGATAACTGAAGAAAAGGACAAACGTTGCGGCAGCATATATGAGCATGCGCGCGAAATAATGTTGCACGCGCGACAATGACATAAGCGTTCCATGGTGTATACATATACAGAAGACTGCGCATCCAACCAAAACAATGCAACAAAGTCAAGACTAAACCACTACGAAATAAAACTAAAGAACAACATAAATAAGCCATGAAACGTCTTTCACTCTAGACCCGTTGCGCAACAACCATAGTGACAGCGGCTCTAGCTGGAGCAGCGAGGCCGCGGCTCACCGCGAGCTTTCGCTATGATTCTTGACCAAAAACTGTGAGTTTCCCTTACTTTGCATTGTTTTGTACACAAGAATTTTAAAATTCAAAATTTAATTCGTTGCGCTGGCCAGAACACGAGGATTTTTTTTGATTTTGCGCGCACGCGCGCGCAGGCAGGTGAAATATAAACAAAAAGTGTGGCCCACGACCGCGGTACCGCGAATGGCGAGTGTCAGTGGAACCGTGCTGCTCTGCTGCATGCAGCCAAGTGCCGCGGAGCAGCGGAGCTGCGGAGCCGCAGTGGAACCCGGCCCTAAGCTGAGTGATTTGCAGTAAAGTTGCCCCACGACGATGCAGACTAGCAAGAATACACCACCAGGAGACACTGCTAATGACTAGCAGCAAACAAATTTGACAAGTAAAATGATCTGCTGATGCCATCCAAAGCCGTCACGTTAAAAAACCATGTACAGGAACAAAGTTTCATTGATGGCGTGCCAAGTGACGAACCCGTGAACACATGCATCCGTAGGCTAACTTTGCTGTTCTGTTGACATTTTACTGCTCTCCAGATTTTTGGGCACGTCTTGGATTGAGTACAGTATGATGACGTGGGTTATAATACTCACCCTTTTCACTGCCACATGGATGTCAGTTGTGGCAGAGGGTACACCATACGTAGGTAAGGGAAATATTAAGTTAAAAAAATGAAATCCTTCTTTCGATGTACCTGTACGATATGTGTACGGAACGTACAACTTTCGATCCCCTGGGATCGAAACGTTTCAAATTTTCAATCGATCGTAACTCAGTCATTTCTGGGTTATTTCCAAAACCTAAATTATGTACGTCGAAGAGAAAACTCCCAGCCGTCCATTGAAACAATCTCAGAAACACTCCGATGTGCGGTTCCAGAGTTACGGAGCTCGAAAGTCAAATCGCGGCAATTGTCGCTCGATAGCCGAGTGCGCAGATTTGAATAAGGGATTTCCCCCATCTTTCTGGGTATCCAGTGACGTAGAAACACATTCAAAATGGCAAACGGACTCATGGCAGATTGTGAAATTTTTGGAAGTAAAAATTAGTTGTTACAAGCAAGGAGAGCGAAATGGCTGATACAAGACGACTTCTGTCGGAATATTGGCGTTGCAACTAAGACGCTGGGCTGTAGCGCTGGAGTTTTGAGTTCTTCCCATTTACAACTTTCCCCAAACTGATGAGAATCATTTTTCTTTGACTTTTACTGCTGCAGTGCTTGCTGATTTGTTGTTGTAAGCGCTGGTGCTTCAACTCTTATGTATTTTTTCCATAGCTTTCTATGAAGCCAAAAACTATAACATTTGGAGAATGGATACCTGAGTTGCGGACTTTTACGTGTGGCTTGTTTTCAGTAGAAAATGACCCGTTTTTGTTGGTACTTAGAGTGCTGGCAGCAGTATCAGCAGGAGTCAAAGGGTAACCCCTACAGCAATAAGCCCATTGGGCAAATAAGGTAATCTGTACCATCAACACCCCACACAGCCACCTCGGCATGGCCGTCTGGGGTGTTGAACAGTGCATTGCAGATCACAGCGTACTCACACGCATTACGCATACCTTCCATATTTGGCAATGTACAATCGGCTTATTGCGGTCGTGGTGAAAATACCTGTGCCCATTTCCATCTCTCGGAGATTTGAACAAGTGACGATAAATTGAAAGTGTCCCCCCCCCCTCAACATCAGTGTTGGATCAATGTACGGGCCACCCAATAACTGGATAAAAACTCATCAGCAAATACTTGTGATCACTTTTACCACTCTTTAAATAGCACCACCGTTTGTACAACAACAAAGTGCGAGAAGGCTTTTGAATGATTCATCCATGCTGCTCTTGCCCTGACCTCTGCCTCCGTGCAGTTGCATTTGAGATGGATATGTGAAAGAAGGAGAGTGTAGGGCCAGAATATGCCGCAAAACAATATTTGCTTTGCTCATCGGAGTAATATCCAGGAGGCACTAACAAGAACGCAAACACAACTATATGTGCTCAAAACGTCTAACATTGTGAATCAAATTCCTGTTAGACACACAATTTCCTTGATTATTTTAACCATTCTCTCTCTCTCTCTCTCTCTCTCTCTTTTTTTTCTCTGTTCCAAGAAAAGTACAACTGCAATGACGAAGGGAAATACCTAATAAGCACTGGAACTGTAGCACTTGGTAGTGCAAAGATGTCCTGTACTAGTCAAAGTTACGATCTCCTACAACAAAAACACATCAATACTTCATGTATTCAAGGCTATCTGGCTCATATCAATACAGTGCTAAGCAAGGTGGTAACGCTCTATGTGTCTAATGGAATGGGATCTGTAACTTGTGATCCTTTGGCAACGCCATGTCCAGCCAATGCTCTTGTCATCTGCAACCATACATTAAGTAAGACCCTAGCCTAAACTTTAATCACAGGTAGACAAACAGATGGACAGACAGACAGACAGGCATGCACACAGACACACAGACAGACAGACAGACACACAGACAGACAGACACACCGACAGACACACCGACGCACACACAAACACACACACATACATGAACACACACTCATGCACATACACACAAACACACGCACACATGCACACACACACATACAAAAACACATATACACAAACACACACACACATACGCACACATACACACACACACACACACACACACACACACACACACACACACACACACACACACACACATACATACAAATGCAATCTGTGGGCGCAATCTGTGGATTTCTTTAAAAAAAACATGAAGAGTACAGCGAATCCGCGTGGGGGGCAATCTGTAACCAATTTCACTGAAAACAAAAACAAAAAGAGGAGCACAGCGAATCCATGTGGGACGCAATCTGTGGATTTCCCTGAAAGAGCATGAAGATGACAGGGAGTCCATGTGCGGATGGGGGGGGGGGGGGGGAGGGGGGGGGGAAATCTGTGACCGATTCTCTGCATGTTCTGTTTCAGGGAAATCGGGCCACAGATATCCCCTATATGGATTGTCTGTGTTGTAAACCACCAGTTCTCAATTGGGAAAGGCCTTCGCGCTTCTGGCATTGTATTCGTTGAAATTTTGTATTTCGACTCCGCCATACCGCTGATGTTGCTGCATGGCATACGCTATATGCGTTGTGTGCGTTTTGCTGTATACACTGTTATGTCCAGTTTTATTTGCTTATGTTTTGCATGTACGCTGTTTTTGCATGCTATAAATAGCTGGTGTTATTAGTGTTCATTGTTAATTATTCGATGAGGTGAAATATACTGTCTGAAGGAAAAGAGTTGTCCTCGTGCCGTGTGGTCGTACGATCCTGACAATTTAGAGAATCTTAGAGGGTTCATAACATTTGGCGACCACGCCAGGATAGGAGCGAGCATGGCAGAGGAACTATGGAACAATTTGGAAGCCAGCTTTATCGACAATGGAGAGCGGTTAGGATTAGAAGGCGGGTTGTTGAAGGTACATGTGGAGCAGAGGCTCCAACAGTACGCGGAGCGTGAGGAGCGCAGTGCCAGACGGCGAGAGGAGGCGCTCCGCACCGAGTTTGCCAAAACACTAAAGGAGATTAACGAGCGCATCGCCAATGCGCATGAGGGTGAGGGTAAAGCCGCGATGGGAGGTACAGAGGAATCTCCCAGTCACAGCGGTGGGCGTCAACCGTTGATGAAAATCCCCTCATATGATGGAACGCAGCCATTGGAGCGTTATCTTGACCTGTTCGCGGACATCTGTTCCAAGAACGAGTTCGAAGAAAGCGAATGGCTGCTGCGACTGCGCATCGCGCTAGCGGGTAGCGAAGCGGAGGATATGTATTGGATGCAATAATTACGAGGAAGCAAAACGAGAGCTGCTTGCCTCGCTCGGAAAGACTCCGCATAAAGCGTGGAAGACATTGCTGACAGGCAAGCAGCGGTCAGATGAGTCGTTTCAACAATACGTTGTCCGTGTTTGCCGAGAGGTAGAGGTGTGGGCCACACTCGCTATGACAGAAGATGGCGAGGTGGACACCAAGTATAGCGCCGATATAGGAAAAATGTCCCCGGTGCTGCAAGCAATGGCAAAGCAGGTAATCTTGGAGCAATGCGGACCTGAGATGAAGACGTACCTGGTCGAACGGCAGTGCTACGGGATGTCACTGCGCCAGGTACAGGAGCACGGCGCGTCTTACCAGGTCGCGCACGGACGACAGGGTGATACTGCCAGGAAGCCAGTAGAACGATCCGTGCCAAGGCCCACGGCGTCGGCACAGTGCATGGCGATATCGGTCGCAGATGCAGAGAAGCAGCTAAAGTCGCTGCCACAGGAAGGGAGAAAGGGTTTTCTGCAGCGAGAGAGACTCTGCTGGAACTGCCTTAAGTATGGCCATATGGCCAGAGAATGTCGGTCAGGCTCGAGATGCACGAAATGCCAGAGGAAACACCACCTGCTAATACATGATGTGTTGGATAGAGCAGGTTACAGCCGGGAGAAACCGACTGAGATAGTTACGGAGAAGAATGTTGGGTCGTGCTGTCTACACTCGCCAAGTGTGCGGCTGATGACCGGAGTGGCACGAGTTGAGGGAAGAACTCGAAACGCGAAGGTTCGCGTGTTCCTGGACTCGGGTGCTGAGGCGTCATTCGTGACTGCAGCGTTGGTGTCAGCAATCGATGCAGAACACGTTGGGGTTGAAAATGTAGAGGTGAAGCCGTTCGGCGCGGAACCAACCCAACAGCGCATGGATAAGTACGCCATCACGATCCAGGGTAGCTCCGCTAGCATTCGGGTACGCGCGTTCGTGAAACCAACGCTTGAGCTGGACCTGAAGTGCGCAAGTCCCCAGACCATTGCGCAGTGGCACACTTGGGGAGTAGAGCTGAGTGACAAGCCTCAACAAGGGACATCAGACGAAATACATATGCTGATTGGTGCAGACTATATCAACGCGGTACTGCACAGCAAGAAGGAAGTTAACCCTTTCCATGCCGGGGCCCCTTTTCTCCAATCGGCCAGCTGTCCAGTGCACTGACTCTCTTGGTGAGTTTGCGCGCACAGCTCTGAATGGAATTTATTCCCATTTCACTCCACCATGATGGATTTTCATCATCCTGGGCTCGTTGGAAAGATCAGGACCAAGCGAATCCATCATGGTAGATCTCAGCAACATAGACACAACAGGGCCACTTCCACCTTCTCTCCGAACTACTCCACCGTGCCTCGGAACGGCACAACAACTCAATCTCACGTTCTTGTTCGGCATCTTGCCCAAATAATTCAACCGATTTTCACCATTCGAACTGCGCTGCAAAGCTGAGATCCAAGCGCTTCATTTGATGTCCATCACGCATGCGTCGTGCAAAAGGGAAATCCCCTAGCACGCTCCAAAAAACTGCGAAGTCATGAACAAAAAAAATCGTGTTCGATCCGGCCCGTGATTTTGGTGTTCATCCTGTCGCCGCTCAGTGATTCTTTATCCCATCGCGACGCACATTATATGCACGGAAAGATGAGCTCAAGACCTTTCCAACGGTGTATTGATTGTTGCGATGCGTTTATGTTTCACAGAGTTACGATAGTTTGTACACTAGTCTATGCACTGCAATGTAACGTGCGCACTACGAGGACGAGATATCTCGTCCTTGGCCAATCGCGTGGGGGTCTGTAGGACGAGTTATCTCGTCCTTGGCACTGAAAGGGTTAATGGTGAGACGGTGTGGAACACAGAGATAGGTAATGTATTATCTGGTCCAGCGTCTGCACCAAGTCGAAACAGTCAGGCGGTGACCGTGTCATGTGTCACAGCCCACATCGACAAACTATGGCAGTTGGATGAACCTCCAGAACAACATCAGCACCTGCCATCTTTCCCGCTATGTCGCCAGGGCAGCGGGTACCAAGTGGGTCTCTTGTGGCGAAATGAGCGTCGCCCAACGGATAACTATGCTCAAGCTAGAGCCATCGCAACGCGGCTTCTTGAAAAGCTGAAGAGGAATGGGAAGCCTGCGCTCTATGATGATGTGCTGATCAGGGAGTACCGCGAGCTTGGAGCAATTGAGCTGGAGCCATGTGAGAGCGATGCCGGTAACTATGTACCGCATCATGGTGTATTCCGCGAGCACGCTGCAACCACGAAGTTAAGAGTGGTGTTCAATGCCTCGGCGACGGCGCCAGATGGCAAGTCGTTGAACGACATGGTTGACCCTGGACCGTCGCTATTGCCGAGTCTCGCAGGTATGCTATTACGGTTCCGTGAATATAAGAGCGCGCTGCAAGCGGACATCCGCAAGGCTTTCTTCATGGTCGCGGTTAATCCCGAAGACCGTCCGTACCTGCGTTTCTTGTGGCCCGGTCGAAGTGACAGCGATGAACTGTTAACCTGGAGGCTAACGAAACTGCCATTTGGCGTAAACTGCTCGCCATACATGCTTACTGCGGTGATTCAGCATCACTTGAAGGAGCTACGGGCGTTGTCTGCACCCAAAGAGCGAGATCGTATTGATCTCTTGCTCACGAGTTTCTACGTTGACGATTTGGTCTCTAGTGTCTCAAATGCCTCGGATGCTAAGGAGATGCAAGAGTTCAGCGTGCGTGTGCTTACGGATGCTGGCATGGAGTTACGCAAGTGGCGAGGCAACGAAATCCCGTGCGATCCAGAGGCCGGGGATAAAGTTCTCGGTCTGAAATGGAAAACCAGTGATGTCTTGCTCAGCATAGCAGCGCTAGGCGAGTCCGATAGGCCGTCTGTTTGGACACGGCGATCCCTCCTCAAGTGTGTTGCGTCAGTGTTTGATCCGCTAGGTCTAGCAGCACCGGCAGTTGTGCCGGGAAAGATACTGCTACAGCAAGCCTGGAAAGTCGGAGGCGACTGGGAAGATAAGTTGCCTGATGGCATCGCAGCCGCATGCGCGCAATGGTGGGGAGAGTTGGCCGAAGTGGTGAGCATTGACATACCATGTTGGATTTGCTGCAATCTTGACACGCCGATTGCGCTTCATGCCTTCGCCGATGCCAGTGAGAAAGCGTTTGGATGTTGTTTGTATGCAGTCGTCAATGGACAGTCGCACTTGGTATTTGCCAAGGCCAAAGTGGTACCCGTGTCTCCACCCACGTTAGCCCGCCTTGAGTTACAAGCAGTATGTCTAGCGGTTCGCTACGCTGAGTTTGTGGTGAAGGAGCTGCGTGTGACCATCACGCAAGTCTATGGCTGGACTGACAGTCTCACTACCGTTCATTGGATCAGTAATCCATCGTACAAATGGAAAACATTTGTGGCTAACCGCGTCCGTCAAGTCCAAGAGATATCGAAAAGGGTCGGCATTGTGTGGAACCATTGCCCGGGCCTTCACAATCCAGCAGATTTACCGTCGCGTGGGAGTAGTGCACAGCAGATCCGTAGTCCGTTC